GACGCGGGCGGCGAGTACCTGGTAAGCGGAGGTGGCGACGCCGAAGACGAAGCCGTCGGGGAAGTCGCCGCGGGTCACCTCCGCGTCGCGCCCCGTGCTCCCCATTCCCCCCGGCGGCGGCGGCGAGGAGGAGGCGATCTCCGCAGCGTGCGCGACGCGTGGCTCGGCAGGTGAGTCGCGCGCCTCGCGTGGTTTCTGCCTGCGACGAGGCGTGAAGAAGACTTGTGCAAATAAATAGGAGGAGAGCCCACGTGAGCGGCCACGGGGGTGGGTGGCACGGGGACGAGGCGGTGGGACCCACCGCGCAGGCTCTGTCGACCCGGGAGGTGGCCCCACATGTCATACTGATAGAGGCAGGAGATCCGGATCTCGTTTGCGCCCCCACGACTCTATGCCCCCCCCTCCCCTTCTGTCCTTTTTGTCGTGCTTAGAGGTTAGTAACTGTAGTTCTTGCTAATTACTCTATCGAAGTCTTTAAAATTTTTTGGCCGGTCTTTGACTAATGGCTTGTTTATGGCATGGGTTTATATATTTCAAAATTCATAATTATATCGAGACTGTTTCATAAGGGGACAGGATCGTGCCATTTGTTTGAGGTCAAACAGCCCAATGTGCAAACACGCCGTTAGAAATACAGCATCAGCAGCAGCTTTGCATCATTCCATACAGTGACAGATCATGTGGCCAAGCTTAACAAGACGGGAAGTTAAATCGAACGAAAATTTGCGTCACAATTTAGAGCAACTTGTTCGAAAAACAAACAGCAACGAGAGCACTACTTCGAATAGAAAATAGGCACTATTACCAGCCAACTTGTTCTTGCCATGCCCATGAACAAAATGTGAGAGGATGCCGGCAGAGATTCCACTACAGAAACTCAGCGCACATTCAGCTCATCTCCAGTGGAGGAACAAAGCAAACCATGTAATATTGTCACTGCAATAATACTTTTGCTCTGTGTCCAATGGCACGCAAAAAAAGGATGCAGTTTGCAACTTTGCATCAGACCAAAATAGTTTCATGAACTCAGGATCTGATTCCGACAATCACCATGGACGGTCACTGATTGCTTCATTAGTACTACCTCCGTCCCAAAATATAGCTATATCTAGCACAGTACTTTGTCCCAAAATGAAGCTATTTTTCTAACTACCTTCTCCTCTCAACCATTCACAACCATTCTTTTTCACATACTTTCTCTTTTCAACCAATCACACACCTTCTTCAATCATTCTCACCTACTTTCTTAATACCCGTGCCAACCTTAAAAATGCTTGCATTTTGGGACGGAGGAAGTATATAGTAACTCCATTTTGGCTTTACCTAATGAAAGAAGACCTTGATCATGGCCAATCAATGCATGATTCCTTCTTGTCTGCATAGCAATTGAATACATTATCAAATCAAAAAAGAATATATTTGTGTGGTTGTGCAGCTCGTGATAGCTTCCACCCAACAGCCCGCTCACAGATAACCAATCGGTACACATAACAGCAACAGCTAGACACAGCTCCTGACGAAGTAAGAAAACCGTCGATGTCTTTTCAGAGGGTGCCGACAAAGGCTTGAAAGTAGGAGACTAGACAAAACTCTAAAATGACATGATGCAATTCTTTCTACCAAATTCAATTACGACAAGCTGTTTCCAATTTCTCACAGCTGATCACCCAACAGATACTGATACATTGAAATGAATAACAGTCTGTTGTAATAGATGCAAGGGATTAAACCAAAAAAGTTTACAATTATCTTACTACATTATGGTAATTCTGTTAAGTCAGTTGTCACTTTGTCAATAGTAACAGGTGATCCAATAAAAAAGTTCCAAGTAGAGTTTGCCTATTTAAGGTGGGAGTACGAACAAAGGATTTTCCTGGCACGACTTTCTCTAGACTCTACTACACTACTCTAAATATAAATGTCTGTAATGCTAGGCAACTTGGTAGTCTGCTCTTTTTTGTTTTGGAAATCAAGTCAGAAAAAAAAATCAAAGCAGCACAACATATGATGTGTACAGTTGCTCCAATACTATTGAGCTACCAGTCACCATAAGACAGTGATACAACAACAACTAAGAGGCTATTAATACTAACTGAATGCAAGACAGCAATTCATCATGCAAGAGAACTGGGACGAGGCTATTACAACGACCAGGTCCAACCGACCAAATACAATGAAACTATATTATCTGAATGGTGGTGCACTCATATAGGAACTAAACTACATTTATCAAATAAAAGTTATCTACTTGCACACCAAATTATTCATGCATGTCCTAGTACCAGGTCAATGAAAAATATCTTCCCTAAATCAGATTCCGATGCTTGAATAAATATACAATCACAGTTCACTGACATTTTGGTATTTTTTACATCATAACTGTCTACATGTTCTTTGATATAAGGTTCTAGAGGTACCTGCTGCAACATTGACATTTTTGTTCTGATCTGTAGCTCTGTACTCTCTCCTTGCAAGGCATGAGATCATATGGAAAATAAAATATGGAATTCTCTCAGTTCTAAAGAAGTAGGAATTCTAGACCAAAATTAAATCTCTTCCTGTCAGTCTAGCACTTACAATATAATTGCAAGATTATTGTAGCATCTAACAACAAACAGACACAAGTACAAAAGCTGATGTTTCTCACAAGCTCACCAGAGAAGCAGAGAGCAAAAGAAAGCACTGCCCCAAAATTGATTGGCAGCTGTGTCACTGCAAGCGTACCAAAAAGAAACTATGCTTCTTGGCTGGCTTTTGACAGCTCATCCATTTCCAATTCCTTGACTGCTGCTATAAGGCTTCGAGTAGTGCCTTTAAGGCATAATCCACCATCCTCCATTTCCTTCAGGAGATTCTCAGCAGTTCTCCAGTCCAAAGCCTTGAGACAAAGTGACTGGATAAGTTTGTTGTACTCATCCATATTTGGCTCCATCCCATCTTCCTTCATCTCCTTTAGGCACTCCAAGGCCTTCTCAAACTCCTCCATCTTGCAGTAACCACGAATAAGTGTGTGATATGTAACCCTGCTTAGTCTTGGATGAATCCTCTTAGCATCACGAAGTAGTGCATGGGCTTCATCCATCATGCCTCCTTTGGCGTAGCCACTCATGATCACACTGTATGTATAAATGTCGGGGCAGATCCCTTGGTTCTCCATCACTCTCATCAAACCCTTTGCATCCTCCATTTCTCCATTTTTAGACAATGCCGTGATGACAAAGTTAAACACTGCGCTACCAGGAGCTGGGCCTAGATTTACCATCCTCATCAGCACTTTCTTTGCATCTTCCACGTTGTTTGTATTACACAAACCATGTATAACCGCAGCATAGGACTGGCCAGCATCCTTAAGAGATTCCCCCTGGTACTCTTCCAGCAGCTCAAGAGCTGTATTAATGGTCTCGTCATTCCTCGCCAAAGCGCTAACAAGGAAAGTTAAGGCCGAGGTCGGAGCCTGCACCTTCTTTTCCTTTGCAGTTATGTATACTGAATGTGCCTCCTTCACCTTCTTCTTCTTGCAAAAGAACATCACAATGTCACCGACCTTCTCGCCATCGGGGAAGCAGCCAGAGCTAATCATCCCATCGCAAACTCTCCATGCAGCATCAACCATGGACTTCCTCCCAGCTGCTTGAATCGCCAGATAATAGCTGTCGCCATCCGGAGCGCATCCTAACTCACTGAACATGTCAAACGCCTCCAATGCAGCCTTTGACTTCTCGAGCTTCCAGAACATCGCAAGCAGTTTATTCAGCACCTGTGTATTCACTGATCCAGGCACAGCTCCCATTTCCTTAACCAAATCCCAGAGCAAATATACATCCATCTTGTCGATCTCATCGGAATCAGCGATCTTGTCGACGACTATCTCAAGATTGGCGAGGCTCTTGGCCGCGGGGTTGTTCTTCCCGGCAGATTTGAACAGGCGGAGCAGCTTTTTACCGGAGCAGCTCTCGGCGGCGGACACGAGAATGGCGGCGAGGAGTGGCTCGTTGAAGTCCACGACCATGTCGGCGAGGGCGGAGGGGATCTGATCCTCGGGGGTGGACTCCACGACGGCGCCGACGCGCGCGGCCAGCACCTCGTCGACCACAGCATCGGCGGGGTCGGGGGAGGCGTCGGCGGCGAAGACGTCGTCGGCGTCCCCGGCGTCCTCCTCCCAGAGCGAGGCCAGGTTGTCCTCCCCGGCTTCGGTGGGATCAGAGGCGAGGCCATCCTCCCCGGCATCGGTGGGATCAGAGGACGCGGAAGCAGCGCCGCCGCCGGCATCCGGGAGGGGCTCCGGGGAGGAGGAGAGGAAGCGGGAGAGGGGGCGGGGAGGCGGTGGCGCTCGGGTTAAGGCTCGAAGTGGAGATGGCGGCGGCGGGAGAGGCCTGTGGATGGAGGAGCGGAGGAGGAGGAGAGCACGAGCTCCCGAACGCCGCCACATCTCCTCCTCGTCGGCGGCGGCGGCGGCGGCGGCGTGGTAGCTGTAATGTGTGGAGGCGGAGGAGTCACTGGTCGAGTCGAGGTGGGAGGCGGAAGGTTTCTTTCTTGCTTTCTAGGGTTTAAGGCCTTGATGGCGCACTGGACTGGGCCTGATTATTTTTGGGCCAATATGAAACTTTTCTCTTTTTCCCCTAAACTAAATTGCCAGTTATTTTCAACACATTTATGAATTTAGATCCACGATTGCGTTGATAACATCTAGATAAATCATCTTTTTCCCATTTTAGATGAAATATAAATTTTTAAATCATTATAATTCAACATACAAACTTCAAATCTATTATGAATCTAAGAACCGAAAGACGGGAACTGTGCCAAACAAGGCCTATAAGCCTCATTTCCAAGAATCATCGCCTTCACTTTCGAGATAAGTTTGAATCCAAATCTTCGATGGAATTATCAGCATTTCCATGGAACATATTATGATGGACTCTTATACTGACCAACAACAGAGGAAATCAAAGCAGATGAGGATTTTATTCCAAGCGACACCAGGTTTTAGTTACATACTGTAAGACACAAAATAGACATTCAGATTGAGCTGCTCATTTCCAGGTTGTATGATTCTACTGTCTATTGAATCCAACAGGCTACATGTCAAAGAAATAAAAGATACATGGATCCTTCAAAAAAAAGCAACAGGTAGATTTGCAATGTAGGAGTAGTAGCAATCTCCACCCACACAACACACATCTGAATGTGCATCTATGCAGTGATCTCGGATTTGGCATTCTTAACATTTTCTTCATCTTTGGTTGATGCCGCTGCTGCTCTGTCCTGCTCTTTCTTCTGCGCCCTTATCAGTACACGTCTTGCCCGGGGACGCATCTCACGCACTTGGCGTGGTGGCATCACAAAAGGTTCAAGAGGGCGATCATGGAATGGATGCTCATTTCCAGAAAATATCCTCAGTTTGCGATCCCTGTCCTGTGATCAGAACAGTGCATGCTTAATAAGCAACAACAGCATTATATGAAGCTTTAGCAATTTGAAGACGAGAATTGAAGGAAAATATAGATGTTTTACCACACACCAGAGAGGAAAAGACTTGATTTCTCGGACAGAATAGAGTTAAATCACATAACAAAGAAACACCATGAAAGATCAGTATACAACTATCATGTGGAACATGAACCAAGAAGGTATGATTGGATTTACGGTATGTTGAAGTTGAACTTGCTATTCAATACAGTTCTCTTGAAAATCCCCACCCCATAGAAGAATTGTAAGATAAAGTTCAGCAAGGCTAAGAGACCGAAACTATAGGCTTATTATGGTAGGTTGAAGCTCAAAAATCTTATCTTATTAATGTAATTCCAAACTAAGAGACCGAAACTATAGGCTAGATGTAGAACAGGATTCATATTGGATAGCTATCTAGATGTTTCAATTATAGACTCCATTCCTTTTCAAGGGGAAACAAATGTATACAGCTTCCTTCGCTCAGTGCAATATAAACACAGATATGCTGCTTGCTGCAATAATGAAATAATCAAAAAAACTTGATTTTTCACCATTCAATCAGCATGTCACTGCAGATTCTGTATCCCTACAATTTTTGGGGGTATTATGAGGAATCATTGGCAGGATGAATACACTACCAGAATCACAATACGTAGCAAAGGCAACTCAAAATATATATCTACTGCTGTATAATTGTATTCGATCATCAATATGCCATCTAGATCCATCAGCACACCACTGTTTATTACAACTCTAGAGTTTCACAACTCATGAAGCTAGTCCACATCAAGGACTGATGTGAATCTCTCTATACTGAACCTAACTGGCCTAACTGGCTCTACCGTGAATGGATGTACTACACGTTTGCAAAAAGCCAACAGCTCGTCCCTTGCCCGTGGTATCCCAGCTGCTACAAACGACCTCCTGCAGGCCACGCTACAAACGACCACATGCAGGTTATGCTATCTCTAGGATCAGACTCACATTTCATCAGTATCAAAGCCTAAAGGCAAGATAAACACGCATGTCGCTCTGGTATCTGACGGTTTCAACCAGCTGCAGTATGCACATTCTCAATCAGCAGACAACCAAATAGACCCCATCTCGGCGATCACCCACTCTGACTGCGGCTACACCAACACTGGTACACCACCTGTGAACGAAAGCTCATGCCCACGAGGAGAACCTGATGGGCGACGGCTCCAGCCGAAACCCAAAACACCACACATCCCTCCACTCCACCTGGTGCTTTGCAGAGAGCACACGCGCACAAGCTCCTATTCCACGGGGCACCGCGCCCGCGCCGCCGCCATGGGTGGATCCAGGTTACATTAGGTCTCAGCGCCAGCCGAAATATGCGAGGGGAGGACAGCGCGGCTCGCTCTACGGAGACCTCGATGCCATCTACCGGAGAGGAGGTAACTGACCTTGAGGTTGTCGGTGAAGGCCGGCAGCGCCACAACCATGTTGATCTCCCGCGGTGGACTTGTGGCCGGAGACGAGAGGGGAAGAGGCGGCAACGGCGGGGGAAAGGAGAAGACGATGGAGTCGTGGGAGCGACTCTTTTGTCTCCTTAGTGCTTAGTGGGCCCCACAGGCCCACCTCATTATATGGGCTCAATTTGGGCCCAAGTTTGGCCTTCTTCAGATTGGGCTCCTTTCGTTTCCAACGAGTTTGAGCCTTTTTTTTTTTACCTCCCTTTCTTCTTCTTTTTTCTTTTTCTGAACGCGCACAATCCTTGCGCATCGATATATTAGAAGGGAAAAATATATTTTACAACTAATACCTGTTAGTCATCAGGGTAACAGGAAATAGGTGGAACACTGAAAGACAATCGGGCGCCTGTAAACAAGGAAAAGGAGAAAGAGCTTGTAGATTTGCATACATTCTTTCAAAATTTGCATAAATTTCACTTGCATTTTAACAAATTCAAGTTTATCCTCCCAAATAAACAAAAAAAAATCTTTTAAATCCTCCCTTGCCGCTCACATCGGCAAAGCAATAGTAGCTTGCAGATGATTTTCTGCACCCTCCATGGAAGCAAACGAAGCCCAGAAATGACATGGCAAGCAGCTTTCACGTAGCTTTGTGCTAAGTGCAAACTTCACCACCAAACCAAGCCATCTGCAACTCTGCAGCAAGGCCGCCAAGATAGATCATCGACGTTAACCCCGATGCGATGTTTAAGCTAATAATCCAAGTCAAAATCATACCTTGCCATGCTCTCCAAGCTACTCCAATTTTCTGCGATTGATGCGGTAATGGACAGTACAACTACCAGTACAAGATCCGGGTGACAAGCCAAGAAAACGCGGCCGCGCGGGAGGAGGAGGATGGAGGAGAAGAGGCAGCGGCTGGTGATCTCTCTCTCGGCGCTCTGCCTCGCCGTCGCCGTGATGTCCGGCGCGCTGCTGCCGCCGCGGGCGTCGGCGGCGGGAGGGGTCGGGAGGAAGCGGCGGTGGGCCGGGTTCGACTACTACGTGCTGGCGCTGCAGTGGCCGGGCACCGTCTGCCGCCAGACCAGCCATTGCTGCAGCTCCAATGGCTGCTGCCGGTGACCCCCCATCCCTCCCTTTCTTGGCTAGTTTCGCCATTGTCAGCTTGGATTGATTTGCTCACCTGGTGCTTCTCCCCCTTTTCCGTCTCTGCAGCTCACATCCGCTCAAATTCTTCACGATCCGTAAGTGTGTATGAGTTCTTGCGGATCAGAAGCTAAATTTATAATCGATTGTATCAATTCGTGAATTCATATTCTTAAATTGTTGGAATAGATGGGCTGTGGCCGCAGTACAGCTATGGGGGATGGCCATCCTGCTGCAGGCCAACCACATTCGACGGCAACAAGGTGGCTGCCAACCACCCATCTTATCTTCAGAATGGGATATTGGGATGTGGTCGTTTTCCCCCCCAATTTGATGAAGAACTGCTAGCTTCTTGCTGTAAGATTGGCATGTCAATGTGGGTGTGTATTTATCTGGTTTTACCTTGTGACAGATCTCGAGGTTGAAGACGATACTCGAGGAGTACTGGCCGTCCTTGTACTGCGGCTCTTTCTCAACCTGCTTTGGTGGGAAAAGGCCATTTTGGGTGCATGAGGTAGACATTGGTATCTAAATGAGATATGTGATTTGATGAGGAGAAATTACTGACATCTTACCCTTTTTTCCTCTTGACTCTTGTTCATGTGCTGATGCTTTACTCGACATTCGTCAGTGGGGTATGTGATTTCTGAACTTGTTGTTCTGCTCCTTAATGTTGTCAAAATTGTTATTCCTAGATAAGATAAGTACTACAAAATTCCTTTTGTTTAAAATATCATGTTGCCAATGCTTGAGAAAAGAATCTTTATAGTTTCTTACACCATGAATAATTCCTGTCCTCGAATCACTGAAGACAGACTGACTGCATTCCATGAGTTTTTTTGAACATGACAAATTTAGTTAGTTCCTCGTATGTATTAAAAAGGGACTGCTTTATGTCTTTTTTACGTATAATTTATCTGGTCACAAACAGACAGTTCAGAAGCTGCATGAAAAGGTTTGACCTCTAATTGGCAGGAGCATCCCAACCTAAACTTTCCTAAGCGTGCCAGATGATGCGGCTCCATTTTTATTGTATCTAATACTCCACATTTTTGGGCAGAAACTCATGGAACATGTGGTTACCCTGAAATACAGGATGAATACGACTACTTCTCTACAGCACTGTACCTTTACAGCAAATATAATGTGACGGTTAGTGGATAGTATTTGGTTTCATGATATGAATTCGTGAAACTATAAATAATCACCTCCCATCTTAATTCAATATCCCGCGTCAAAAAAGAATCTTAATTCAATATTATATACATATGCGCAAGGTATTTGAGGTTGTAACATTTCCTCAGCACATTGATATAGTTCTCACTCTGGTCTTGCAGAAAGCTCTGAAGAAAGCACATATTTATCCTAGAGGAGGCAGGAAATACTTAGTTGGTCATATCGTCTCTGCTATTGAATTTTCCTTTGGGGCAATGCCATCTATTGTGTGTAAAAACGGCTCAGTTCAAGAACTGAGGCTCTGCTTCCACAAGGATTATCAGGTAATTTTGATGTATTTGTGAGTGAAGCACATTATTATGTCATCATGTCCTTACATATTCAGATTTGATTAAATCGGTCAAAGTAGGAATTTCTCCTGTTATAGTGATATTAGAAGGGCAGGGCCTAATTTTTAATCGAGTCACAGTAGGCCCTAGATTATGCAATAACAAAACATACATATTTTTTCAAAACGGCTAAACATAGAGTGTTGAGATAGACAACTGGAATGGATATCCCAGGCTCCCAGCTCTCAAGTGTCCTTGAAATTATTATTTTTACTATGTGGCTTTCGTGATAAACATTTATCGTCAAGTGCAGATTCTTCTGAGCATTTCTCAAATTCATAATTGAACTAAATAGCGTATTTTTGCAGCCTCGCGATTGCTTAGTTGAGGGTGAGAACTCTGTTAGAAGAAACCATTGCCCTCGATACGTCACTTTACCATCATATAAACCACACGGTGAGTTATCTGTTTGTGCCAATTATCAGTCACTGAAATGAACAGACAGTACATGCAATAGAAACTATGTTTTCTGAACTTCTGAAATAGTACTAGGTTTTCTGAAATAGTACTAATTGAACAATATAGTTCATTTAATCATCTTCTTCTTGAATTTATGTGGCTTTACCTTCTCTTGTTTTAAAGATAGGTTTTCTGAAATAATTCTCTCAGTTTTGACACTTATTATCTGGAGAAATGCATGCCTTGTGCTAATAGAACAATAGTATAATTGTTTCAGTCATCTTCTGCAATTCATGTGACTTTACCTTCTCAATGAAAACATACCTTGTTCATCCCATGTGTTTTCCCTTTTTCTGACACTCCGGTTGCACTTGCAGCATTTGGCAATTCTACAGAAGGAATCAGTAACCAAGTCAACGTTGAGCACCAATCATATCAGTAGATCTCACATCTCACTGTGAGTATTCTACAATATAAACACGGCTCTGATGACTCAGGAATGAGATGTACAGCAAGAAACCCACTAGGCACACATACAGTAACGTCTGCATCTGTAATTCTATAATGCAATTCAATTGATTATAAAGCAACTGAAAATCCCATGCTGAGTTATGCAGAACTTTTACTGCATCTCAGTTTCTGTAAATCTGTAATTCTGAATTGTCTGCAAATTTGCAGCATCCCGTCATTTCCAAATTCAAGCGCGCCGTTAACAATTGCCAATCTCATGTTTTTGTGTCAAAACCATTGTGCTAGATTTCATAATTTGTCAGCAGCTATAATATTTTCGCTGAATATCACATCACAGCGTTTATGTTCTCAGCGAATATTTCGCTGAAGTCTGGGAGCTTCGTGCTCTCTGTTCCGTTCACTTTACGCATCTCAACCTATCGCTGTACAAGCGCCTGCTTTCTGATTGACCTTGGATTATTTGCGTTCTAAGATTTGTTTGATCAGATGCTGATTAATGTCACCTTTTGGCCTTAATCATATAAGGAATATTCCAAAGTTACCAAATCCACATGCCATGGCATCCCGGGCCAAAATGGTAATCAGCCTCCGGTTGCTTCACCTTGCAGGGCTCTTTATCTTAACCAATCTGGAAAAAAATTCACATGAATTCTGAGAAAAAATGTGTAGAAAACAACTCGAATACTTCAAAGCGAATAACAATCCATTTGAAGCCCACTACTTTGAAAGTTTGAAATGGATGAATTTTGCGGAAAAATATCTCTCGATAAAAATGCTAACCACCAAATCACTTGTAACTAACTGAAAACAGAAATGGTGCAGTAATTTCTGATTTGGCGGCGGGAGGGCCCCACCTGTCAGTGAGACGACCATCGCGGTAACCGCATCCAAATAAATCCACGTGGCCGCCACGCCGAGCGAATTGACCGTACAACCAAGCCGCAGAGAAGAGGAAGGCGGAATCAGTCGAGGGCGAGGCGGCGGCGGCGGCGGCGATGGCGACGGCGAGGAAGGCGCCGCGCATGGTGGCGATCTGGGCGGTGGTGGTGGTGGTGGTCGCCGCCGATCTGTTCGGAGCGGCGGTCGCGCGGTCGGCGTCGGCGCGTCACGCGGTGGGGAAGAAGCAGCGGGAGTTCGACTACTTCGCGCTGGCGCTGCAGTGGCCTGGCACCATCTGCGCCTCAACCCGCCACTGCTGCGCCATCAACGGATGCTGCCGGTAGAGCCTCCTCCTCCTCCTCCCCGTCTCCTCCCACCGCCGCCGCCGCACGCGCGCGCTCGTCGGCCGGTTTTGGTGGTCGTTACGATTTTCGCGCGCGCGCCGCGACCTTCGGAGATTTTTTTTCCCCTGATGCGGTTGCTTTTGCAGCTCGGAGCCGCTCCAGACGTTCACGATCCGTAAGTGCGCCGCGCGGCTGCTCGATCGATCGGTTTAATCCCACCCTCGCGTTCGATTTGGATGCCGTTTGCTGCTCGAGCGAATCAATTTCTGATTGATCGATGTGTGTGCGTGTGTATTTTGCGTACTGGATGAACAGATGGGCTGTGGCCGGACTACGACGACGGGACCTGGCCGGCGTGCTGCCGCCACACCAGCTTCGACATGGACAAGGTACTTGGCTGCAGAGCTCCTCCTCTTTGTAGCTCGAATGCTCGATGCTTACACGGTTAATTGAAAGAGTGACAATGACAAGGTGGTTGTGCTTTGGTGCTAACCTTATCGATGCATGGATTCGTCATTCGATTTTTGTGGTGTAGATATTGCCCCTGAAGCCGACGCTTGAGAAGTACTGGCCGTCCCTCTACTGCTCATCCTCTTCCACTTGCTTCAGTGGCAAGGGGCCCTTCTGGGCTCATGAGGTATATAAAAGTTTCAGAAGTCAAGAACTAATGGATTGGATTATACAAGTATACCTCTTTTGGATTTGCAACTGACCTTTTGTGCTGTTTTCCTGTCTGTTTGTCATATGGTATTCGATCATTCGCGGCATATCTTTAGTGGGGTAATGTTCTTCAAATCATTCCACCTTATGTTATGAGCTTTCTTATTGTTTAACTTTCTAACAGGAAGTTATTGATTCCACTTGAAATATCACGTAGTTATATTTACTAGGCACTGATTTGTCATTACTCAACTCAGCTTTCTTTTTTTCTCAGAGAAACATGGAACATGCTCATCCCCGGTAGTTAAGGATGAATTAGAGTATTTCACCACTGCTCTTGACCTCTACTTCAAATACAACGTCACGGTAAGCATTTGGGCTTGGGCTTACTAGTTGTAGGCTTGTAGCATCGAGTTGATTTACTTTCCAGACAAAAGTCACTGTGTCACAAATTACAGCAACAGTAGCCTTTTGTCCAAATAGGTCAGGGTGTTATAAGGACAAGGCCCAAGTTGAGCCACATGCCATGGCACAAAATCTTGTCCTTTTTCCTCTGATTAAATCGCACCGCATTGCAGGAAATGTTGGCAAGTGGTGGTATCCATGTTTCAAATGGTAAACAATATGCGCTAACTGATGTCATTGATGCCATCAAATGTGCTTTTGGGGCCTCACCGCAAATTGTTTGCAAGAAGGGCTCAGTTGAAGAACTGAGGTTATGCTTTGACAAAGATTTGAAGGTTAGCTCTCCTTTTTGTTCTTCGAACAACTTCCTACAGTTTGTATCATGAAAATTATGCTGCTTTTAGAATGAACGACCAACAGCATGCACATTTTGAAATTATGTTCCTACAGGCCTGCAGTTTCATTTGCTAAAACTCAAGCATTTACCAACCTCAAACATGCTACATCTTTCTATATGTATGCCTAATAGTGAAAACAAAAAACTTGATCACTGTTGAAACACCACTAAACTGTACGGAATTCAAGGTGATTATATGCATCATATAGTGTTTTCTGCTTGTGTTTCTTCATGCCCCTATTAAGGAATGTTTTATCTGTTGTGTTGAAATTTCTAAACATGTGCTGCATAAATTTTGACTGGTGAGTATTTTTCCCAAACTAGCTACCCATGTGAATATTTTCCCCAAAAGTTGGGAATGTGCGCAGTCCTGCACGTGTTATTTGGCAATGTCTCACATGGTCACATGTTGCATATGCTGTACAATAAAATACTATAATCTTTCTTTTTCAAAGAAAACCTGTACAATATTGCTAAACTCGGTGGTATATTTCCAGCCCCTTGATTGCCTTACTACTACTGCTACCAATGAAAACGTATCGAAGAAGAAGTATTGCCCTCGATACATCACCCTGCCAACATATGACCCCATAGGTAAGTTCAGTTGCTGGAATGTAAATCATTGTTCCAACTCTTGATGCGCATGCTAATCCTATTGTCTGATTCGTCTGAACATGATTGCAGTACATGCTAATTCTACTCGGGAGATCATAACAGTCGAAAGTGAGGTCTATGGATATCTTTACACATCCTAAGATACGATTACCGCGAGCAAGAATTACATGGCCATGATGAAGCCGGTAGTTCAGGGCTCTTAGCTGCTTAAGACATACTGGGGCCGGCATTGAGGTTCAAGGAAATGTATATCTAGATAACTCGATTATTACATTTGTAAGCACGGCACGCCAGAACAACGGAGAATGTGATTGTGTCTGAAAAATCAATTGCTTTATGTACTATGCAAGGTTGGAAAATAGTTCGTCCATGTATATAGTCATTGGTCAGGGTCATCTGCGACTGCAATCTGCTGAATTATAATGGACAGTGGCAATCGGTCTGAACTTTTCTGGCTACGAATATCTATCATGTATGTGCCCAGAGTACGTGTTGACATGGAGCAAGTCATCACGTGAATTTTGAGTACAATTCGTTAAGATCGTGCGAGACATTTTCGAGTGAAGAACTTTATTGTGTTGTCATCGTCAGTTATACATGTTCCCTTTGTACAGGTGAAAATGCACACTTTTGCACACCGGCAATTGCAGCAAATACAAACCAACAACTGTAGAACAGTACTCCCTCCCTCCGTTTCGAAATGTTTGACGCCGTTGACTTTTTAGCACATGTTTGACCGTTCGTCTTATTCAAAAAATTTAAGTAATTATTAATTCTTTTCCTATCATTTGATTCATTGTTAAATATATTTTCATGTAGGCATATAATTTTACATATTTCACAAAAGTTTTTGAATAAGACGAACGGTTAAACATGTGCTAAAAAGTCAACGGTGTCAAACATTTCGAAACGGAGGGAGTATAAATCAAGCGAGCATGGCACAAACAGCAACCAATTTTCATGTAGAAAAAGGTCGATCAAAATTCTTAAGTCACCAGCTGCGAACTACAGCATAAGGCGGTAAGGCCCGCAGACCGGGGCATACAACTTTTAACAGCTCTAGTCAAGTCTTACAACATTCAGATGTATTTTCACTTTCCGCTTTCCAGTGAAACCTGCCAATTCAGTGTCCTAGCCTGTAATTTTTCAATGGAATCAACCAGCACGGTACTTTGGTCATGTAGCAGCGGCTAGCACGTCCAGAAATGCATGAATCTGCAAAATATGACAAGTGTCATCAAAACTTCCAATAAAAGCAAAATAATGTTGAAGCATTATTGATTCACGGTTATTAAAATGATAAAGATGAATGTGGAGAGACTGCCAATAGAAAACAAAAAGCAAAACCAAGTATATATTACATGTACTTATCAAACTATGGAACTTCACTAAAGAAATAAAGGATTAACAAGTGGGGGGTACAGGAAGTGACTAACTTACTCTCAGAATTCATGGCCTAAAGATGCGCATCTGAGGTTGGAAAACAGAGCGAAGCCTGTACATACATCTCCATGACCCCATGAATTCACCCGAAAACTGGTGGGTTGTTGAACTCATGTTGTGAGGATCATCTAAAGCAAGCAAACTTTAGCCATGTTTTTAGATAATGAGAGGAAAGGTGATCTGGTATGTCTGCCTGCAGTAGTAGCAAGACAATCATAAGTATACCGAATAAAATAGACGGTGTTAATTTAGTGACTTCACTGAATGAAAAGTGTTAATAAAAAAGAAGATAGCATACAATGTCCCATGAAGCAGAAAAGCCATCAGTTGAAAGATACCAACATCCATGGTGCGATTCAATGCCCCTCCTATTGGAGGTACCAAGTTCAAGCAGCTGATCAAGATCGTCCTCGTCAGAATCATATCTCCGTCGCTTTCTCTTCCGATCTCTCTTTCTCCTTTTATGGCTACCTCTTATGAGATCCTCATCATCACTGTCTAGTGCAATTGAGTTCCCATCATTTTGGACCAATGGGTAATCATCAGCCTTGCGAAATTCTATTCTGTTACAAGTGAACAGATGCTCACAAGAATCAGCTGATTTGCACCCTTTTGACAATTCACAGAAAACTAGCCAGGACTGGATGCCTATCCACTTAAGTGCGTCCGGAAGTTCTGTATCCACAAATCCCTTCATGAGAGCAAAATGATCAGCATCAGTCAATTGATTAGTGCTCTTCAGAAGCTCTTGCATCTGTCCTTGTTCTTCCTCTTGTTCTTCATCATTCATGAGGCGCCAAAGTTGTCTGCCCTTAGAAATGACACAGTTCAATAGCACAAGTTCATCAAGAGATATGTGATCACTGTGTGCTGACAAAAGAACCTCAAGCCAACAGCATGGGAACACCATTTCCTTGCACTGTGAATTCAGCTTGATCAACTTCCCCAAAGCTCTCAAGAAATTAAGAAGCCTTTGTTCATCTAAATGAATAAGAAGATGTTGAGAAAGAGAAGAAAACTGCTCGTCCATCAAAAATTCATCAACTAACTGCCATGCATCTCTGGAATTCTCCTCATACATCAAGTAAACGAATTGATCTACAAAATATTCTGTGTCAATTTGCAGTATTTCACCGTCTTTGACGGAATCAGCAAGCTCTTCAGAAGACCAGAAGTCTGGGACATACTCCAGGAAATTTTCCACAGTCCGCAGAACATCGAGATCACGAAAATAATGGGGCTTAGTAGCAACAACAGCAGGAGACTGCCCATGCTTGCCTTTCCACTCAAGCTCTTCCCAACAAATATCACGATTCACAAATGCAAATTGAGAAAGTGCCCTAGCACCCTTCTTATGTGTCAATTCACCAGTAACCGCAAAGTGACCAAACCACTGCATTATCTGCTTTGGATTCCCTGTAGAACATAATAAATGGAATGTCACTATGTCAGAAAGAATAGATGCTCATGCTCCTGCCAGTATCAAACCAGTCTTTCTGGGTTGCAACAGAGACACAGAAAACTCAATATGCTTTGTATATTTGATTCAGGGCTTACTACAGCTGCACAGCACAAAAAGTTACATGGATGTTTAGCATGTTTTCAGTACACAAAGGCACTCACCCTACAATCTCTCTGACAAATTACACTAAATAAGATCATACAATCATATATGCAAGTATGCGAGAGCCAACTCATGTCAGTCAGTCCAAGTTGAGACCTAGATCACAGCCAAAAAATGGTTCTATACCTAAAACACAAATAGAAAAAGGCAGGAACAAAGCATGATGTTACTGTAGTGGAAACACCATTTCATCTTCTTCTAGTGTATGGCACATTTGTATTAATCTAAGAATGTGTTAAACTACTTGCATGAGTGAGGGACTGAGGGGCGGGCCACTAGTTACTACCCATTATGTGAAGAAGTAATTCAAACTGAGTGTACGCAATTATGCATAATTCCATATCTTGTATTGCCAACAAGCCAAACAGGCTTAATATTTTTATGCAACTGTAATAGAGGAACAAATGTCATATTTCTAGGTAAATCCCTAAACAGATATATCTCAACTAGAGTATGTTCTGGATACTGAACAGTGAGTCGCAGCAAGAAAAAGGAATATAAAACAGATATATGTGAGCAGCAGTAGAAAAATTCAGAGCATCGAGTTCTTAGTGTAATTCCTTACCTTGGAAGAAGTCCTCTAGCATCTGGCATTTCTTTGCTATAATAGAACCTGCTTTTTTGGGCTTTTTGTCAAAAATCATCCGCAGCAAGCGGGCAGCGACATCCCGTTTGGAATTTTTCATCCCCAAGAGATTGAGAAACAGGTCCCGCTGGCCATATGGGTCGAGCAAATGAATGGATGAGACCGTACTGCAGAGCCACATCCGAGCCTCATACCCACCTCCAGACTTTATAACCGACCTGATTATAGGCTCCACCTTGCCAAGAAGAGATCGCCTTGCTTTTACAGCATCTGTATCAACACTACCACCATCTGTGGTCCCTTGAAAAAAGAGTTGAACCATCTTCCAAGAGAGATTTTCTACCTCCTGAAATTGAAAGTTGCAAATTGCAATAACAATGTTTCACATTCTCCAGTCCTCATTGAAGTAACGCATATAGGTAACACTAAAACCTTAGATTGCCAAGTAAAATTCAACATGGATTTAACTTAGCCGAGATTTGATCCCAACACCTATTTATCTGTTGAAACGTCATAGGTAATTTTAATCGGAAACCCTAAACTGAAATGCAAAATTTAAAAGTTCCTGGCTAGGAAATAGAAACCGAAGCACAACAGGTACCAACTGAGACCTCTACGGCAGCGGGGCAGGTTAGCGTCTCTCACGATTCACGAACACCTCCAGGCCGACCAAGTCATGGAGGAGGAGGCGAGGCGGAGATGGGAGGCGAGGCGGAAGAGCAGCAAAGAGGAAGGGGGCGACAAGGAAAGGCCCCCTGCCCGAGGACGGCGGGAGGATGTGGCGTGAGGAGGAAGGCGGCGGCGGTGGCGGCGGCGGATCGAGCAGGCGAGGAGAGGAAAGCCTCACAACTCCCCCGAGCACCACGATCTCTCTCCAGCTCCAAGAGGACTCCGTGATTGCGACCAAATTCTCGACCAATTTGATGAACAGATTAGGAGCGCGACGCTTACCAGCTGGGCGCGGCGGGGGTTCCCAGTTCCCACTAGGGCACGACGAGGAAGAGAGGCGGTAGTATGCTCGTTGCGGTGAGCGGCGGCGGCGGCGGCGGCGGCGGAGCACCGAGCAGCGCGGCGCGGAGGATCGGAAAGAATGAGGCGGTGACGGTGAAATTGGAGAAATTTGCCACCCAATTCACATACTTTTTTTTTCTCGATTCATACTATCATTAGTAAATTTCAGAAAACTAAATGTTTTATGTTTTATGGTTGAAGTTACAGAAAAACACACATATTTTAACACTTACTCCCTCCGTCCCATAATATAAGGGATTTTAAGTTTTTTGCTTGCAACGTTTGACCACTCGTCTTATTCATAAAATTTTGAAATTATTATTTATTTTATTTGTGACTTACTTTATTATCTACAGTACTTTGAGCACAACTTTTCGTTTTTTATATTTGTAAAAAAAATTGAATAAGACGAGTGGTTAAACGTGGCAAACAAAAACTTAAAATCTCTTATATTGTATGACGGAGGGAATAGTAATTAAGTACATATATTTTTTTGGTAGTTTTTTTTTTCACAAAACCACAATATCAATGAATGGATTCACCTGTGAGATGACGTGGTTATTTTACCTAGGATGAGGACGTGGCATCCTATTAATTTCATGAGATGGCTGGTAATAGGATGCATGTCATTGTCCTATGTGGAACAACCAAGTCGACGTGGCATCCTATTAATTTCATGAGATGGCTGGTAATAGGATGCATGTCATTGTCCTATGTGGAACAACCAAGTCATCTCACGGGTGAATCTATTTATTGATAGTGTGGTTTTGTGAAACTACACTACCAAAATATATGTACTTAAATGCCAAATGTCAAAGCGTGTGTAGTTTTCTGCAACTTGGACCATAAAACATGTAGTTTTGTGAAATTTACTCTACAGTCATACTCCCTCCATAAAAAAACCAAACTAGTACTGAACGTGACATATTATAGTACAATAAATCTAGATATACCTATGTCTAGATTTGTAGTACTAGGATATGTCACATCCAGTATTAGGTTGGTTTTTTATACGACGGAGGGAGTACGTCTTTTGAAATGGGAAAATCTAAGGCCTTTCTGGTTTTCTGGTTTTAGTGTTAACGAGAGACTGTATAGGTACCTTAACAATATAGTACCAGTCCATCAAGCAACTAGAAAATATATTCCTATCTGTTTCAAATAAAAATTTATCCTTAAACTACTCATTCGATACACGATCCGATTACATGGTTGTGTTCAGAATTAAATCTTTATAACAAGCTCACACATGATTATGTTTTGATGAAAAAATACAAATTACTTTTATAATATTCTAAATTACTTTTAGATTTCACTAAATTACTTCTTAGACATATAAAGGTAAATTTAATAAATCCTAAAAGTAGAAGTAACTTAAAAAAAGAAAGTTACTTTGTCACGACATTAAAATTAGATCCGTTATGGAGGTAAAAATATGAGTATATCCAGAAAATTAATTTAATCAGTACAAATTATGCAATTCACTAAAAATGATAATAAAATAACAACTCACAACATTATGATTATATGAGGTAATTTAATCAAATCGGAAAGTAATTTATATATATGATAAAAGTAACTTACATATATAATAAAAGTAATTTACAACATAGACATTTCTTTCATCAAAACATAGTAATGTAAAATCCTGTTGTAAAGATTTAATTGCAATGAACACAATGGTATAATTGGATTATATATCGGGTATAAGTAATTTAAAATAAAAAACTGTAAAAAGAAAAAAAGATATGTATAATTTGGTATACTAGTAGGCAACCAGCTCTAAGATGAATCTCTGGTCAAGACAATATAACTTGCGGTTTCAACGTAGTCATGTCCTTTTAAAATATATCACCAAAACTATGAATTGTTTGATTCCATATCACCATTACTCTCCTTGTCTGTTTCTCTATATATCGCCACTACTGTCACCATTCCCCCGCATGTCAGCTACACACAAAATAATAAAAATTGGTGTGGCCCATGTGGCCCCACAAGCGAGGATGAAATGTATGTCCCATGGTTTTAATTATTTTTTCGGGATCCAATTGCCACGTAAGCGCCACGTCAATATCATGTGAGACGAAGACTTAGCCAAAGGAGTCACGTCAGTTAAAACCGAGCACAATACTACCGAGGGAACTTGTTTGCACGGTATTGTAAGATGGGAAATACGCTATACCTGGTTTTTGCATTCAAGCATGAATTTCAGATTCAGCGACAAATTAAGAGATCTAAAGTGAACTTATTCATGCCCCCACTGCCAAGTTCGCGTAGCCCACAGGCCACAAAGCCCATAACAACATCAAAGCCCAACCCCAACCCACTACCTCCCCTCAAGCACACAACGCTGCACATCCCCGCCGCTCCGCGAGTTGAAAAACTCGTGTTCCCTCAGATCCCGGCCGCCGCCCCCCCCCCCCCCCCTCTCTCTCTCTCTCTCTCTCTCTCCCAGCGAGAGACGCGCGTTCTCTCTCTCGTGAACTGGAGAGTGGAAAAAGAGTGAGGAGACGACGCGCCGCCACCCACCCACTCGACCGTTGCCACCGCTGCTTCCCTTCCCCTTTCCATCCCCCCTCCTCCCCACGCTCCTCCCCCATTTCAAATCCCCCCCCCCCACACACACCCCCTTCCACCGCCGCCACCGCCGCCGAATCTAGGGTTCATCGGGGATTCGGGATCGATGGAGAAGTACGAGAAGCTGGAGAAGGTGGGGGAAGGGACGTACGGGAAGGTGTACAAGGCGCAGGACAGGGCGACGGGGCAGCTGGTGGCGCTGAAGAAGACGAGGCTGGAGATGGACGAGGAGGGGATCCCGCCCACCGCGCTGCGCGAGATCTCCATCCTCAGGCTGCTCTCCCAGTCGCTCTACGTCGTCCGCCTCCTCTCCGTCGAGCAGGCCACCAAGAACGGCAAGCCCGTCCTCTACCTCGTCTTCGAGTTCCTCGACACCGACCTCAAGAAGTTCGTCGACGCCTACCGCAAGGGCCCCAACCCTCGCCCCCTCCCCACCAACGTCATCAAGGTACACCTCTTGCCTGATTATCCCGTGTCTTCTCCGCTTCTGGGTTGGTTGCCTAGGTGAAAATCGGTTGCAGCAACCATGTTAGTGAAAATGAATGAAACACTAGATGTATGAGTTTTCAAATGACATTATTGATTTTTCAGTTTTTTTTTCACTATTCAGAGGCAAATACTGGGCCATGGAAGTGTGGATCAAATTAAATACGAAATGGAAAAAAAAATTAACAATCCTTATAGTTCCTATGTCTCTCTTTTTTTATATATATAATCTCTGATTGTTGGAGGTTTTTCCTTTGATTATTGTGAGACCTTTTACAAACAAAGATAGATGATGCACGACCGACTAATCGGTTAGTGGTTTCATATTCTGTCAAGTTGCACATTGCTCTAATTGCATAGAATTCACAATTGTTGCACGTTAATTATGCATACAACAACAGTGATCCAAGTTAGTTCTCTACAAATTTTATATGGCAATGAAAAGAAATGACTTCTTTTTTTTTTCAATTCCCTGCAGAGCTTCTTGTATCAGTTATGCAAAGGAGTCGCACATTGCCATGGCCATGGTGTCCTTCACCGGTTGGACTCTGTTCTCTCCCTGTGATTTATGTTGCTGGGCTTATCAGCCCCATACAGCATTGCAGTTGTTGATAACATGGTTTATACTTATTCCTGCTCAATTTTGTAGTGATTTAAAGCCACAAAACCTGTTGGTCGACAAGGAAAAGGGGATATTGAAAATTGCTGATCTTGGGCTAGGTAGGGCGTTCACTGTTCCTATGAAAAGCTACACACATGAGGTAATGTTTACACATCTCATCTGGGCTAATTTCTGAACATGCTCTAGCAATTTCCTTATATGTCTGTTTTGTGTTGCAGATTGTGACTCTTTGGTACAGAGCTCCTGAAGTTTTGCTTGGATCAACACATTACTCAACCGGTGTTGACATTTGGTCCGTTGGTTGCATCTTCGGTATGCTCCTTTTGATCTTTGTTACGGCTTTGTGGGGGCACTTCATTCTTATATTTGAAAAACCAAAAGCACAACCTGGATACAACTTTTAAACAAACGCACTAGCAGATTCATGGTCACCTGTTTATATCAACCTTTAAACAAAGGAGAGGTAGATGTGCACCAGCAGTTCTAAAGTTTTTCGTGTATGTGTTATCAAGGATTCTTTAGTTTTGAATGTGTGTGTATATTTGAGCTCCAATTTTTCATCGCTGTCATGATCTTTGAATTTCTGGCTGACTAAGCAGCATATATCATACTTTTGCTTCAAGTTTTTCCCTTGCTTTCAGTACAAAAAACATACTGCCTCCTCATTTTGATTCTCGTACTGTTCTATACAGCTGAAATGGTCAGAAGACAAGCTCTTTTTCCAGGTGACTCTGAGTTGCAACAGTTGCTTCACATTTTCAGGTCTTTCTTCCTTCTGCCTTTCATGATTAGCAAGAAGTGCAGTTATCATAATATGAGTTACATTGCTTATCTGCTAAGACAATGGTTTAATAATTTGATAATCGGTAGTTATTGCTGTAGATGATGATTTTTTTTCATAAATCCATGTTTGACATAGTCTGAACATATAGCTGTGTGATGAAAAATTGCCATGCTAGAATTTCATAAACTACTTTCTGTATAGTGTGTGATAGTTTGCCTCAGCCTGTATACCTTATGGTAATTTATTCAGGGAGTATTATGCATTAAGCCATTGACTAAAACCGACTTCTTAATAGGTTGTTGGGAACTCCTACTGAGGAGCAGTGGCCTGGAGTAACTGATTTGAGGGACTGGCATGAGTTTCCACAGTGGAAGCCACAGATTTTAGAACGTCAAGTCCCATCATTGGAGCCTGAAGGAGTTGACCTTTTATCGGTAAGAAAACTGATCTATACTGGTTTTCCATTTTGTCACTATTCGAAATTATTTAGGCTGTAAGATAATTTGAAGTTCTCCCTAATTTAATAGCTTCAAAGGAATCTTTTATGTATGATTTTGGTTGGTTTTAAATTGTGCCCAACTTCTCTTGATTTGCTAAATTGTGTTCAATTTTTCAACAAGATGTGAGGTGATAATATTGTGAATAATTTCTTGCAGAAAATGCTCCAGTATAACCCAGCAAATCGGATCTCAGCAAAGGCTGCTATGGAACACCCCTACTTCGACAGCCTCGACAAGTCCCAGTTCTAGTTTGTACCATGTGATTGACGAAGTCCATGTTCTGTTGTGTCATTTGATTATAAACGTGTTGCTGTTAGCAGCAAGGAAATTCGTTTTGCCTACTTAGCACCCTACTTTGTGATCCAACAAGGAAATCCGTTTGCCATCTAGGCAACTTGAATACAGTTTGAATGTAAAATGGGTTTGTTTCTATGCTGTATGGCATATGTATTATGGACAAGAAGGTTGCAATATATTTGCCTGTTTCTTTGACGAAGTATTGCCAAGCATTAGTTTCCACCTTTACACTTGCAATGATTTTATTAGTCGTTGTTTAGTAGATTATCAAATTCATTCATGTGCTCTGAGGGGCGATTTGCTTATATGTTAAAAATCTTTTTTGTGCTCTAAAAAGATGAAGCCATGGTCCAATATTTGTCACCGTAATTAGCTGGGATGCTGAAAATGATGAAGATGATTGATTAAGTTTGAAACTCATGAAAATAAAGATTAAGTTGGTGCACATAAAGCGAGAAAACTATTAGTACATGATTAATTAAGTTTTAATTATTATAAACTTAACAAATTGGTATATTTGATATTTTAAAGCAACTTTCATATAGAAATTTTTTCACAAAACGCACCGTTTAGTAGTTTGAAGAGCGTGCTTATGGAAATCGAGGTAAAATCTTAATCTTGAGAAAAAAAACATCAATTGACTTTCAATTCAACTTTAGTGAGATCAAGCATATACTATTAGTTTACGTTTTTTGAGCGTGTACTACTTTTCCGTTCCAAAATATAGATATTTTTTAGGTTAACACGGTTATTAAGAAATTAGTATGTGATAATTATTAAAGAAAATGTGTGATTAATTGAAAAGAGAACGTATGTGAAAGAGAATAGATGTGATTAGTTGAGAGGAAGACGTAGGAAAAAAAATTGCTTCATTTTAAGACAAGACACTGTATTATAAATAAATTTTTTTTGGATAAACTATTGTGCTAGAAATAATACCGAGGTAATAGGAAACTCATTTGCGAGTGAGTATGACATTATGTGTCATGCACACAGGTCGTCCACTCGTCCAACTTGGTCAAGGAAAATCAAATCCTTCGTCAGGACTCAGGACCCACCTGTCAGTGACGGCGCGCGCCCGCGAGTCACGGCGTCGGTCCGCCACTTCTCGCGTGTGTGCCGGGGCCCGACTATAAAGTGGCCCCGTGGTCCCAGTCGACTTGGAGTCGAAGCCTTCTCAGAATCACATCCAGAACATTCTAGATCCTTCCAGAAGCACGCGAGAGAGGGGAGGAGAGAGAGAGCAGTGGGGGAGAAGAGAACCATGGAGAGCGCGGGGAGCGGGTCCGGCCACGCGGCGACGCCGGTGAGGTACGTCGCCCTCCCGCCACCGCGGGGCGTCCGCGACGGCGGCGGCTGGAACGTCCTCGTGCCGGAGTCCATGGCCTCCGAGTGGACGGTGGCGCACGTCCGCGGGGTGGTTCGGGTGGCGTCGAGAGGCGGCGGCGCCCCGGAGGTTTCCGTCGACATGGCCGCGCTGCAGGCCGCGCTGAACGGCCGCCGCCGCGGCGACGACGACCCCGACCTCCATCTCCGCCCGGAGCGGGGCGGGGGCCGGGACGCGCTGACGCCGGTGAGGTACGTGGCCCTCCTGCTACCACGAGGCGTCCGTGACGGCGGCTGGAACATCCTCGTGCCGGAGGCCATGGCCTCCGAGTGGACGGTGGTGCACGTCCCCGCGGCAGCTGGCGTGGTTCGGGTGGCGTCGAGAGGTGGCGGCGCACCGGAGGTGTCCGTTAACATGGCCGCGCTGCAGGCCGCGCTGAACGGTCCCCGCCGCGGCGATGACCCCGACCACCTCCATCTCCGCTCGGGCCACAGCGGTGTGGGAGGAGGTGTTGCGGAGCGGGGCGGCGGTGGCGGCGCCGGCGGGCCGTGCTACGTCCCTGTGGTGTTCGTCCTCAACACCAGCAAGGAGGCCGAGAAAAAGGAGGTAAAGTATTCTCTCTGCCCTTTCCGTGCCATTTGCTTCACGAAACATGGAGCGGATGCCGCAGCAGCAGCGCCGCGGCGAATTTGCGGCGGTGGTACCGTGGTAGCGGTAGAACTCCATAGGGTTGTCGCCTTGTCGGATACTCGGATCTCGCTTGCTGGGGAAGGGCAATGCTCCAGGCGAGCAGCGGCCCAAAGTTTGGTTTGCCAAAATTATCGATGCCGTGATGGGATGAGTTGTTGATTGTTGTCAGTTCTAGTGGTGTGCTAGTTTTTCCGATGATGTGTCGCTGTCGCTGTAGTATTTCGTCGCCGCATGGATCGTTCCATGTACATGTGTGGATTCATTGTTTTACTTCACCTTACTTGATATAAAATAGTAGAGAAATGCACATAGTTATTTTTAGTCAATTATTTTTGTTGACGTACAGGTTGATTCAGCTGAAGGTTATTGAAAAATAATGTTCTGATTGCTTAGTAATTGAACTTGCGTGTCACTACTCACCAGTATCCACATATCGTTAAATTCATTTTACCTAATGCAAAATTTTGTGGAGAACACCTCAGTATATTATACTTCAGTTAGCTTTATCACTGTGAATCTGTGTGAGGGTTCCTAATGCTTTGTGTATGCGTGTGGTACTGGTAGACTGGTAGTACCTGAAGCTGTTGGATTGGACGTGGACATGTTATAAAAGTAACTGTGCTAAGCTGGTGCTTATGCAGTTTCAATAAATTTGGACTAGGACATTGATGTGCGTATCTATGCATTGTTCACCTAAAGAAATGAACATATATAAGTTACCTATTATTATTGATTCCGTTATTGCCTACGTATGTTATTGTTTGTTTTGTCTAAGTACACTGGATAATAAAACTTCACATAAGCATGCTAATTATGTATGTTATTGTTTATATAACTTGTACGTTTTGTGGGCACTGAAGGTAGAGTCTCAACTGTGATTCTAAAGAAACAATGGATGGCTAATTATTAGTTTGTTTTACTCAAGTAAATAGGTGAGCTTAATTAGATATCGTTGTTGTGTGATTAGCAACTTTGATTCTTTGAACGACTGTGCATGCTATCTTTGCTTGGTGACACGCAGATGCAACTGTGGATAGATCGAGTAGTTGGAACACAGACATGCATCTGTAATCAGTTAACTCTTCATCCTTTAACCTCTAACTTCTGAAGTTGTCTTCTGCCCTCTAGCTGTGTTCATGTTTGCGTTACAGTAATAAAATGGTGAACTGACAGTGATCACAACAGCTATTCTGTTCAGCCGTTTTGTTTACTGAGTGTTGAAGTGTAGTCTGATGTACACTATGGCATTCATTGGATGTCTCTTTTTTTAGTACTTTTGAAAACTATGCCACAAGCCCACAACTAAATACTTCCTTTTGTTTCTGTGCTTTCAACCAGCACCAAGCACGCATGATCAGTCTGCTCATGTTGTCAACCTTTGCTGTCTACCTCCTCTACGCTATGCAGCACATCTCCAAGGATACGTTCCTCACAGTGGAATTGCTTCAGTTTGTGGGCCACATTGTTATGTGGGCTGTGGTGAGTTATTGTCTCACTTCTAATCATTGACCCTTAATTTTTGTCATTGTACTATCCTACTAAGTTGCACCAACAATTCACAACAGGCCTCAAGAGTTGCTCGAAGCACAAACAGAAGTGAGCCTCGTCTTGTGCCAAGGTAACTCAATCACATCATCTTATATTCTTATGGGTATTTCAATTTGTTGCTGCTCCGTGCTCCTCCAAGTAGCTCTATTTAGCCCCTTGACGCTATATTCTTACCCAGCCTGGCATTACAGTTCTAGTCAAAATGTGTTCTTTCTGAACTGTGTAATATATCCGTCCTTATGTCTGGTCACTTACTCACTCACTCACTTGATGTTGTATCTTCCAGGTCTTTTATTACTGTGACCAAGAAGAACGCGTGAGAGAGACAATCAGTGTGCTCTCTAGTCTCTACCCCTTCGTCAGATGTTCAAGATGTTGGGAGTTTTTGCTACCTCGAGGCGATACTGTCCTCTGATGTCGCTTCTATTCGTTGGTTTCTACTTAGTAGTTAGATTGGCAATGGAAGTTGTTCTGCTCTCTTACCCATATCTGTGAATTGTGGATGTCTTACCGCTGCATATGTAGCAATACGGCAGAAATGATCACGAGTTTGCGACAGTTTGCTTCACATTTGCATGAGTATATTAGAGGATTAGTACTTTCAAGGTGTTGCCGGTAGTGTTGGCGTTCTCATGAACTCATGCTTGGATCTACATGAAATTTTGATATGCCTGCATTGTTCCTAAACTGATTCCTGCAAGCCGCTGCTCCCATAAGGCCGTAACTCGCTTCTAGTTGCAATACCCGCATATATTTTAGATTATATATTATCTTAGTTTGCATGTTTATGTATTAACCCATTAACTTTGACTAAAATCTGCGTCTGAAATGTTGCTGCGAAATGGCTGTCGTTTAAATTAGTCCATGAAGAGCTACCACCAAGTGAGATTCTCTCGCTTTGGCTTACTTAGTAAACCAATTTGAGATAGATTTGGAGCATCCGAGGCAGTAATATGTGAAATTTGAGATAGATTTGGAGGCGGTGTGCATTGTTAGCTATTACAAACCAGTTGTAAAGACTCTTAAAACTGGAGCATCTAAGACAGGAGTGTGTGAAAAAAAAATTGATTGAAGAGTTTTTCTCATGCTGGACTGTAAAGACTCTTAAAACTGGAAAATCTGAGACAGGAATGTGAGATTAAAAAAATTTGATTGAAGAGTTTTTCTCACGCTGGACGGTCAACAAAAATGTGTGAATACTTTTGATTGAATAGTTTTGACTCATGCTGGACGATGAACATTAGTTAATTAAGAGTTGTTGGTTCGTATACTGCCAAAATCTCTTCATATAGAACTATATGTCAAAATCTATCAAAACAAGCATCTATATGCTTCGCAATATCATCAACATAATGGATGAGCAAGCAAGCAATCAATCTCAAACCAAATGAATGCCTCAACAAGCGATCAAACCTCATCTAGTGTGTAAAGCGCCCAAGGGAACTCCAGTTTAGGACAATGCAGGCAAGAAGACCTGAAGATTGACTGCCCGTTGCTAAAAAGGAAAAAGTAACATAAAACACTGACAAGTGAAGAGCCAGGCAGAACACATTTTGATCAATATCCAAACGGCAGCTTCTCACATAAATAAGATAACCGATAGCTCCAGGTTGAGAACCAAAAACCGAAAGAAATAGGTTCTTTGAGCGGAGTTCAGAACATAAACAAAAATGCCTGTTGCAACTTGCAAGACTATACAGGTGAACTTAAATGCCATATGGAGTTTGTTTGGCAGCATAAAGATGGAACTACTGTGATAAGGCTAAACTCTTTCACTCATCATCCTCTTCCTCGTCATCATCATCAGCACCAGCAGAGGAGTTGAGAGCATTCAATCTTTCGACAAGACTGGCCTTCCTCTGTTCGTAGGTTAGCTTCTTGAGGTTGTATCTGAGACAAAGATGCAAGTTAGTTACAATCATACATGGACATCACAAATAATCTTTCCAGAAATCATCAGCCAGATTCATGTACCTCTTGTGGGTCGCCGGTTCCTTCTTGGTTGATTTGGCCATGGTAGGATCAGCACGGATGGCAGCATGGACCTTCTTGTACAGTGCTTCCATGCCATCAGCATCAATTCCCTTCTTGAGGTACTCACTGAAGTGGGCTTGGAATTTCTCAGGTTCCTCCTCCGCCATAGACTGCAAGAAGTACATAAGTAGAAATTTTAAACTGATGAGAATAAAAATCAAGCAGACTGAGCTAAACAGTAACAAATTTTCCAGCCTGCTTATAATGTTTTAGTCAATATTACAAGCATCAAGGCAGCTACATAACTCCTAATACAACACACAGCAATGTCAAAATAGCACGAACAATTGATCTAATAGTGCCAGCTCACCCTCATGTAGTCAGCCACGTGCCCACCGTAGATGTACTTGCGGTGAATATCAGAATCAAGCTGCTTCTCGTCCTTCTTGAACCCAGCAAACCTCTTGTCACTGTGAGGAATGTCAAGACCACCATCCAAAGCTCCCTGCAGAAGAAAAGAGAAGTATATCCACATGAGCTACTAATACAGATCAACAATCCAAAGGTTATCGTAACGGTTGTGTTTCTAAAAGAGCTGAGGAATTTGATGTTCAAGTGATAAATCAACTATTATTACAGCAGCCAACAGTTGCGATCAAAGCACAACACACCTTGAGGGCACCAAAGACACGGTTTCCAGTGGTTGTCCTAATGAGGCCAACATCCAAGAGAGCACGGAAAGGCCGCCTTTCATCAGCTGGTTCAACATAGTAGTCCTCCCCAGTGGCCTAACCAAAGGAATCATACATATCAAGATCAAAATCAGCATGAGCATGAGCATATAGAGTAAAAAATTTATAAGGATTGTATTTGTACCTCAATATTGCCCTCGTACTCCTGGTCCAAACCACGGAGCTTGAGCACACGGCGAGCCAAAAGCAAGCCAGTGCAATAAGCTACACAATGCATCAAAACAGAGGAATTAAATTGCATTCATACAGCAACACAAACCAGCATTCTGCGTATTCATTCAACTGAGGAAACTACCTGCCGCATAGTTGGTGAGACCAACTTCAAGACCATAGCGAGGCAGCTCATGGGAGTAGGCAGCAGCCATCACGATATCACCAGCAATGGTAGCATAGACAATTTGAGCTGTGATATCTTTGTTTGTCTAATGTACTATTAAGGCATACAGTATGATAATAACAAATATATAGTATAATAACCAGAATTTACGAGGAAATGCATAAATATCATGATACAAAGAACAAAAAGGATACAAATCTCACAACGAAGCGGTACTTCGGTGTGTTGTACTTGTTCTTATCTTGGTTGGTGAGCCTAATCCTGGCCCTGTAGTCAGTCTTGCCCTCTGCAAACAATGACAAATGAGATTAAGTACGTCAAAACCTTGACTTGACTTGGAAACGCCTCGGTCTCTTGAACTTGACTTACGCCTCCGTCTCTTGAACTTGACTTGGAAACGCTTGTGGTAGGCATTGGTCTTCTGGGTCTTGACAAACCCTCCCTGGAGAGACATTATCATATTAATACAAACAGCATAAAAACTGAAGGCAAGCAAACATGTGAAATAGACTTAAATTTGAGAACTTCCTAAACGCATATCGAAACACTGCAATTTTATTATCAAGCAGTCAGTTAGGATAGCAAATGTATTGGTGCAACTAGACAACGGAACCATCTAAAATCCAATATCCAGAAAAACTGATAGAGCTAGACAAGCATATGAAATTTGTGCTGGTTGTAGCAATAGATAGTGTTTGTGACAACTACTATACTACCACTACTGGGATGTGGCAACCCACCTAAGTGGCTCTACTGAACAAAACAATCAAGATGGATGGCACGAACTACTGCAAAATGCAACCGCGAAAAGAAGAGATGCTAGCAACATCAAATGGGAAGCACGACGACCGAAATGCCAAAATACATTATCGTTTAAGCAAGAAATCTACATGACACCATAGATCCCTACCGGATCGAAATGGATCCCGAGAACCGAGCATCATATCCATCGCCACAAACGCAAATAACCTCGCAGCCGCACTACCAATCACCCACCGAGCTAATCAAGGACACCCATGAACCAAACCGCGACGCAGCGAATCAAGAACGAAACAGCACAGCACGCAGCGACCGATTCTAGCAGGGCTGCAAGGAGGTTGAGAGGATGGAGTGTGAGGATCTTACCATGTCGCTCGCCTGCTGTGGCTGCTCCGCTGCGGCGGCGGCGGCGCGTGGAGGAGCGAGGAGAGGGGAGAGGTGGGAGAAGGAATAGTTAGGGTTTATAGCGGCGGCTGCCCTCGAGCCCTTTTATCCATCCACTCGAAGAAGAAACCCGAGTCGCGCGAGCGCATCGGGCGGACGGATGCGGTGCGGGAGATGGATCGGACGGCTCAGATCGTCTTGAGGGGTTGCTCTCCGCGGCTTGATGGGCCTCAGTCTGTGGGCCTGGGAAAGGAGATAATTCCTCGTTGGAATAAGTCCGTTTTGCGTCCCTTTTCTGTTACGCTTGCGTGAATAATATCCCTCAACCGGAAAACTGGGTATAACGCCTCCTTCTCTGAAAACCAGAGTAAATCACCTCCCTCGCGGTTTCGGAGACGGTTTTGTCCTACGTGGCAGCTTTGATTCTGCTGACTAGCTGAGTCAGCTTATGGGTCCCACTCGTCAGCAACTCTCCTCTTCCCCTATTATCTTTTACATCTCCCGTGGCGCCAGCGAGACAAGCGCTGAATGGAGGACTGGCGGAAGTCACGGCGGCGGTGTTCCGGCTCCGTCCGCGTTGGACCAGCGACGCGCGCGCTTGGGGAGGTGAGGCGGCGACACTACCGATCTCGCTTAAGATGGGGGATGCCGAAGCTCGGGGAGGTCGCGGTGGCGGCGTTCCAACTCCATCAACGTTGAACCAGCGACGCACGGTCAACAACCCCTGTGCCGCATCCTCCCGTGCCAACTCTGTGTCTGCCGGCGTCCATCTCCGTCGGGATGCCAGGGACGTCGGGGACATGTGCCGCCGACCACGCCCCACCATAGTAGAAAAAGTCGGACCGAGGACTGACCCGATGAGCTTGTCGGTTCACTGGTTAGACCCCGGTTCATCGGTCGGACCGTGGTTCTATGTATTAAGTAAATTAGTGTTCATTCCGTTCAGTAACATAATCACATCATCTTATATATTCTTATGGGTATTCAATTTGCTGCTGCTCCGTGCTCCTCCAAGTAGCTCTGTTTAGCCCCTTGACGCTATATTCTTATCCAGCCTGACATTACTGTTCTAGTCAAAATGTGTTCTTTCAGAACTGTGTAATCATCCGTCCTTATGTCTGGTCACTCACTCACTCGATGTTTGTATCTTCAGGTCTTTTGTTAATGTGACCAAGAAGAACGCGCGAGAGACAATCAGTGTGCTCTCTAGTCTCTACCCCTTCTGTGTCAGATGTTGATTTGATAAAACTAATTTAGTATTATAAATATTAATATATTTGTTTATAAACTTAGTCAAATTTGAAATAGTTTGATTTTGACCAAAGTCAAAACGTCATATAACCTAAAACGGAGAGAGTACTTAGTAGTTAGATCCACGCTGGAAGTTATTCTGCTCTCTTACCATGTACTTCCTCCGTCCCAAAATGAAGCTATTTTTAAGGTTGGCACGGGTATTAAGAAATTAGGTGAGAATGATTGGAGGAAGTGTGTGATTGGTTGAAAAGAGAAAATAGGTGAAGAAGAATGTTGTGATTGGTTGAGAGGAGGAGGTAGGTGAAGAAATAGGTTTATTTTGGGATAAGACACTGTATTAGAAATAGGTATATTTTGAGACGGAGGGAGTATGTGAATTGTGGGTAGTACACATGACGGCACCATATGTACGTTGCAATACAGCAGAAATGATCACGAGATGCGACATTGCTTCACATTTTGCATGAGTATGCTGACGAGATTTCAGTATGCTTCGTTGTTATATTAGAGGATTAGTACTTTTAAGGTGTTGCAGGTAGTGTTAGCATTCTCATGAACTCATGCTTGGCAAGTTGGCATAATCCGATCATATAGATCTACATGAAATTTTGATATGCCTGCATTGTTCATAAACTGATTCCTGCAAGCCGCTGCTCCCGTGACTCCCTTCTAGTTGCGGTACCGCTTATTTTTATTATCTTAGTTTGGATGTCAATCCATTAACCCATTAACTTTGACTAAAAATCTAAAATCTGCTTCGGAAATGTTGCTGCGAAGTGGCTGTCGTTTAGATTAGTTCATGAAGAGCTACCAAGTACCAAGTGAGATTCGCTCGCTTTGGCTTACTTAGTTGTAACAAACCAATTTAAAAGACGAATTGGTGAAAATTGGAGCATTCGAGGCAGTAATATGTGAAATTTGAGATTGATTTGGAGGCGGTGTGTGCATTGTTAGCATTACAAAACCAGTTGTAAAGACAAACAGGAGAATCTAAGACAGGAATGTGTGAATTTTTTTTTAGATTTTATAGTCTTTTTCAATCCTCATGCTGGACAATCAACAAGAATGTGTGAAAATATTTTATTCAAAGAGTTCTAACTCATGCTGGACGGTAAACTTTAGTTAGAAAATAGTGATGGACTCGTATTTCCTGCCAAAATCACTATATAGAAACCATATGTCAAAATCTGTCAAAACTAGGAACTACATGCTTCACATTGTTATCAACATAATGAATGAGCAAGCAAGATGTCAATCTCAAACTGAATGAATGACACAAGCAAGCGATCAAACTTCATCTAGCGAGTAAAGAGCCCAAGGCAGCTCCAGTTCAGAATAAATGCAGGCAAGACCAGCAGATTTGACTGCCCATTGCTAAAAAGGAATAACATAAAACAAAGACAAGTGAAGAGGCAGGCAGAACACAATTATATCAATATCCAAACGGCAGCTTCTCACATAAATAAGATAACTGATAGCTCAAGGTTGAGAATCAAAAACCGAAAGAAATAGGTTCTTTGAGCAGAGTGCAGAACATAAACAAAAATGCCTGTTGCAAATTGCAAGACTACAGGTAAACTTAAATGCCATATGGAGTTTGTTTGGCAGCATAAGATGAAACTACTGTGATAAGGCTACTCTCTCACTCGTCATCCTCTTCCTCGTCATCATCATCAGCACCAGCGGAGGAGTTGAGAGCATTCAATCTTTCGACGAGACTGGCCTTCCTCTGCTCGTAGGTCAGCTTCTTGAGGTTGTATCTGCAGCAAAGAGATGGCAAGTTAGTTACATCATACATGGACATCACAAATAATCTTTACGAAAATCATCAGCCAGCTTAATATACCTCTTGTGGGTAGCCGGTTCCTTCTTGGTCGATTTGGCCATGGTAGGATCGGCGCGGATGGCAGCATGGACCTTCTTGTACAGTGATTCCATGCCATCAGCGTCAATTCCCTTCTTGAGGTACTCACTAAAGTGGGCTTGGAATTTCTCAGGTTCCTCCTCAGCCATAGACTGCAACAAGTACATAAGAAGAAAATTTATCCTGATGACAATCAAAATAAAGCAGACTGAGCTAAACAGTAACAAATAATCCAAACTTTATATAATGCTTTAGTCAACGTTATAAACATCAAGGCAGCTACATAATTCCTAATACAACCCACAGCACGAACAATTGATCTAATAGTGCCAGCTCACCCTCATGTAGTCAGCCACGTGCCCACCGTAGATGTACTTGCGGTGAATATCAGAATCAAGCTGCTTCTCGTCCTTCTTGAACCCAGCAAACCTCTTGTCACTGTGAGGAATGTCAAGACCACCATCCAAAGCTCCCTGCAGAAGAAGAGAAGTATATCCACATGAGCTACTAATACAGATCAACAATCCAAAGGTTATATTGACGGTTGTGTTTCTAAAAGAGCTGATGAATTTGATGTTCAAGTGACAAATCAACTATTATTACAGCAGCCAACAGTTGAGATCAAAGCACAACACACCTTGAGGGCACCAAAGACACGGTTTCCAGTGGTTGTCCTAATGAGGCCAACATCCAAGAGAGCACGGAAAGGCCTCCTTTCATCAGCTGGTTCAACATAGTAGTCCTCCCCAGTGGCCTGACCAAAGGAATCATACATATCAAGATCAAGACCAGCATGAGCATATAGAGTAAAAAAATTATAAGGATTATATTTGTACCTCAACATTGCCCTCGTACTCCTGGTCCAAACCACGGAGCGTGAGCACACGACGAGCCAGAAGCAAGCCAGTGCAGTAAGCTACACAATGCATCAAAACAGAGGAATTAAATTGTATGCATACAGCAAGACAAACCAGCATTCTGCATATTCATTCAGCTGAGGAAACTACCTGCCGCATAGTTGGTGAGACCAACTTCAAGACCATAACGAGGCAGCTCATGGGAGTAGGCAGCAGCCATCACGATATCACCCGCAATGGTAGCATAGACAATTTGAGCTGTGATATCTTTGTTTGTCTAATGTACTATTAAGGCATACAGTATGATAATAATAAAGATATGGTATAACAACCAGAATTTACGAGGAAATGCATAAATACCATGATAAAAAGAACTAAAAGGATACAAATCTCACAACGAAGCGGTACTTCGGTGTGTTGTACTTGTTCTTATCTTGGTTGGTGAGCCTAATCCTGGCCCTGTAGTCAGTCTTGCCCTCTGCAAACAATAACAAATGAGATTAAGTACATCAAAACCTAGCTATATTACAAGCACAGAATGCATGAGCCACATGAAAGGATTATATTGAACTTACGCCTCCGTCTCTTGAACTTGACTTGGAATCGCTTGAAGTAGGCATGGGTCTTCTGGGTCTTGACAAACCCTCCCTGGAGAGACATTATCACATTAATACAACAGCATAAAAACTGAAGGCAAGCAAACATGTGAACTAGACTTAAATTTGAGAACTTCCTAAACGCATATCAAAACACTGCAGTTTTATCATCATGCAGTCAGTTAGGATAGCAAATGTACTGCAGCAACTACACGACTGAACCATCTAAAATCCAATATCCAAAACACATAAATCTCTGATGCGTAGGAGTATAACTGATAGAACTAGACAAGCATGTGAAATTTGTGCTGGTTGTAGCAACTAGATAGTGTTTGTGACATCTAGTATACTTCCACTACAGGGATGTGGCAATACACCTAAGTGGATCTACTGAACAAAACAATCAATATGGATGTCACGAACTACTGCAGAATGTTACCGCAAAGAGAAGAGATGCTAGCAACCATCAAATGGGAAGCACGCCGACCGAGATGGCACAACACATCGTCGTTTAAGCAAGAAATCTATATGACGCCATAGATCCCTACCGGATCGAAATGGATCCCAAGAACCCAGCATCATATCCATCGCCACAAACGCAAAAAACCTCGCAGCCGCTCTACCAATCACCCACGGAGCTACCACCACATAAAACCTTCACGAACCAAACCGCAACGCGGCGAATCGAGAACGAAACAGCACAGCACAGCACGCAGCGACCGATTCGAGCACGGGCCGTAACGAGGTAGAGAGGATGGAGCAGAGGATCTTACCATGTCGCTCGCCTGCTGTTGCTGCTCCGCTGCGGCGGCGGCGGAGGGGGAGGAGCGAGGAGAAGGGAGAAGGTGGGAGAAGGAATGGTTAGGGTTTATAGCGGCGGCTGCCCACGAGCCCTTTTATCCTTCCTCTCGAAGAAACCCTAGTCGCGGGAGCGCATCGGGCGGACGGATGCGGTGCGGGAGATGGATCGGACGGCTCAGATCGTCTTGAGGGGTTGCTCTCCGCGGCTTGATGGGCCTCAGTCTGTGAGGCTGGGAAAGGAAATGTTTCCTCGTTACCAGCCCAAATAAATTTGCAGGCCAGCATTAGTCCCATCTTCTACGAACGGATGGCCTGCAGGGGATTGGCGTAGAGAAGAACGAAATTCATTTTATAGAAGGAATAAGTTCACTTTACATCTCTCGTATCTTCGACGCCGAGTTTTAATTATGTTTTTTTACCATAATACCAAATATAACGCTCATCTTTTAACTTATAAAACTGGTGTGAGGTCCAAGATAGTACCCAGTTTTAGCTGATGCAACGAGTGAGCCACATTTGTCATCGGCCAACTCTTGTTCTTCCCCCCCCCCACTCACTCTCTTCCCTCTCTTCCACATCTCTCATACTCTCACCTAGCCTCGAGCGACGGCGAGAAGGGTGGATACCGACTTGGAGAGGGCCAACCAACAAGGTGGACTAACGGGTGAGCAACGAGTAGCAAGGAGAGGGACGACCGCCGACTTAGAGTGGGGCAGTGGGTGCGGCAAACTAGAAGGACAATGGTCTTCAAACTAGAAGGGCAGGGAGCAGCATTCTTCTTCCTCTCTTCCCTATCTTCCCCATCTATCACCAGGCCTCCGAGCGGCGGGGATAAGGGCAATCGCTGACAAGCCACTTGTTTTGTATGGCGCGGCAAAAGGCACCACTAATGGATAGCGTCGCATAGGGGGGGGGGTTGGGGACAACCCCGCGCCGGGGCAGCTTCAGGTTGGTCATCGGCGGCTATCGTGCTCGCAATGCAGCCCACCCTGATCGCCTCCACCTCGTGACCATGGCCTCCTGAGTCCCGAGGACACGCTCGTCATCGTCTAGCACACTGCATACCTCCACTAGTAGTCAACGTGCTCCTGCCAGCTCATCCTCCTCGACATCATAGAATTTCAGCCCCCCGAGGTGGGCCGCCTCCTTGGAAACCTTCCACGGTCAAGCTCCTGCGCTCATGTTGACCACCAGTGTCTCCCTGTCGCTCGCCGCCCCCCCTCCTGGCTTGAAGAGGATTGGGGAAGAGAGGGGAGAGGAGGGAGAGAGAAGAAACAAGAGTGGGTTGTTGACATGTGAGACCCACTCGCCACGTGAGTTAAGATTGGGCACTATATTACCCTAGGACCTCAGGTACACCTATTTTGCAAGTTTAGAGACACGCTATATGTATCTAGTATCACGGTGTAGTGATGTAATTCAAACTTGACGTATGGAGATCTAAACTGAACTTATTCCCTCGTAGAATGTAGAATTGGATGGGCTAATGACTTTGGCAGTCAAAAACTCGTTGAATTGATCACCTACCGTGCATTTGCATTTGGTTTAAGGGATGGGATGGTTGGCTTGGATCGAGTATATTTCTTAGCGTGTCTGGTTTAAATTGTTAAATACACAGTTTTGCCATAAATAAATTGCTAAATATATTATAGAGAGTTTGATCCTGGCTCAAGATAAACGCTGGCGGCATGCTTAACACATACAGGTCGAACGGGAAGTGGTGTTTTTAGTTGCGGACGTGTGAGTAAACTTCCTTGGGAGAGGAACAACAACTCAAAATGGTTGCTAGTTTCGCTAAGGGAAAATTTTCATCAATAGTCTGATAACAAATTTAGCGACGTATCTATAGTTTCGCAACAGTTTGGTTTAAAACAAAATCTACTTAAAAAAAACTCAAATAGCAAAATGTTTGCCCCCCTAGGATTCAGAAACCAGCACTCGTAGCCCAGTGGATGGATGATGGACTGTGAGCAGCAGCAGCAACAACGACCAAGGAGCTAGCAAAGCAAACAGCGGTGAAAACGACCGGGGGCAACGAGGCGTCGAACATGTGGCGCGGCCGCGCGGGGCAAGCGACGCGCCGGGGTCCCACGCGCGCGGGGAAGAAACCGAAGAATCCACGAGCACCAATCCGCGCAATCCCCGCCTCCGCGATCACCAAATCCGCCGTCGCACCGTCTCCACTCGTCCCGGATCAACAAACCGCCTCTTCCACACAACACGCCACGCCACGCCTCGCCGCGCCGCGCCGCGACGACACGCGCCAACCAAACGGGTGGCAGGCAGGCAGCAGCGAGCTGCTGATGCCGCTGCCGCTGCCGCTGACACCCCGCCCGCCCGCCGCCATGCTGCTCCCCGTCTGCTCCGCCGCGCCCACCTGCTCCCCGCTCTGCCCGGTACGGAACAAACCACCACCGCGCGCCGCCTCCGCCGCCGCCGCCGTTGTCGTTCTGGTAGTCGCTAATGCTTCTGTTTGGTTGGCTTTGGCAGGTGACGTCGTCGGTGGCCCATGTCGTCGGCGCGCCGGCGCTACGAGGGAGGGTGGTGGAGGTGAGCGCGCTCAGGTCCTACGCCGATCCGCTCGTGGCGCGGCCGGTGCCCGACCGCCCGCTGCTCGCGGACTCATCCATCCTCTCCCCCTACTCCGCGTCACCCGACGACATCGTGCGGGGCCTCGCCGCCGCGGAGGTGCCCAGCGCCGACGCCACCGCAGCAGGTGACGCGCTCTGCTGCGGCGGGGTCGAGCCGGCGACGCTGACGGCCGTCTCCGACCTCGCCGCCACCACGGCCGACGCGGCCGTCACCGACGCCGCGGAGCGCGCCCTGCTTGACGCGCCGGTGCCCACCACGTTCCCGGCCGACGCGTCCGACGCCGAGGCCGCCTTCGCGAGGCTCATCGACTCCCTCGGGAAGAAGATCTTCCAGGCGGAGGACGCGCTCACCGAGGGGTACGACAAGCTGCGGCTGTCGGCGTACCAGTCGCTCAGCGCCTGGAGGAAGTCCGTCGACGGCGCGGTTGGTGGCCTCACGGCGTCGGTGGACGCCACCAAGAAGCAGGCCGCCGGTGGGGTGACGGACGCCTCCGGCGCGTTGCAGGACAAGGTGGCCGGAGCTGGCACCGTCGCCGTCGATGTCCTTAGGAAGGCTATTGTTGCTGCCGAGGATTCACTGGGCAGCGCAGCAACATCCATTGGATATTACTATGGATCAACCAAGTCGTCGTTGCCACCGAATGTGAAAGATTTGCTGAACTCCTCCGAGGAGAAAGCTAGTCTAGTTCTGAAACCGATTGGAGGTGCCCTTCAACAGGTAAATCAGTGGCAAGAATTCAGCTCTTGTTCTTGGTATGCCAGTTAGCATTTTACTGAAATTGCTCAATCTGTTGTTGCCTGCTATGATTCAGGTATATGTAGTCGTCGAAGGTATTGAAAAGAATGTTGGTTTGGACCCAAGTGATCCTATTGTTCAATTGGCAGTTCTGCTTGGAGGTTCAACCACAATCGGGTAAATGAGATTTTCTCTTTGCCATTTATAGCTGACATGTTCATACCAAATCTTCTTCTTAATCCCTGCTATGTTGCAGGTTAACTTACTGGCTCTTCGCATACGGTGGCTATTCCGGAGACTTGTCACCCGAATCCACACTAGAGCTGTTGAGAAATGATGACAAAGCCGTACTTATTGATGTTCGGTCTGAGGCAAGAGATTGTAAATCTCACTGGCCTATTCTTTCTTTGATGTCCGTTTTCATCTTTTATATCCGGTCCATGATATATTCTGCAAACCGTAGAAAAGATAATATTGTTTGTTAGCCACCTACATGCCTTTGCCAATGTAGAACAGTTTGTTCCTGCCAAGCCATTCAGTACAAACATTTTTAGTACTGTAGCACTACAACTCTTTGATGCGTTTCCTCTAGAGCATGAGAATATAAGCTTACATGCAGATGTACCTGAACTTCAAGTGTTTGATTCATCATTAGTATTTCAAAAGCAACTGTAACAGCTTATCATGGAATCCTTTTTGTAGGACTTGAGAGTGAAAGATGGAATTCCGGATCTACGCCGTGCAGCTAGATCTAAATATGCAACTGCTGCTTCACCTGAGGTGTGTCTTTGTTTGAACTTGGAGATCTGAAGTGCTACCAGCCATTGATTGCTGGACAGTTTATATGTCTACTTAACCTGAACTCAGTTCCAATTTTTTATGTATATCCGTGAGGATTGAAGTGTATGCAATGAGTTCTTTTTGTTGGAATAATGTTAGGAGTTGTTTTCATTCTAGAAAAAGAAAACTGAGAAGTAAACTTATGCAACTCTAGCAGCAGTCAGCCATTTCAATTTCAAACGGGTGAGAGTACAAAACTGATTTTGCTTACTGATATTAAGTTCACATATTTTTCTTTAGATTAAAGGTTCAGTAAAGAGGCTACTTAAAAGTGGAAGAGATGTTGATGATGCGTTGCTCGCAGTTATCATCCGCAACTTGAAGTTGGTCAAAGTATGATGTTTGCCTGAACTTGGATTTGATATCTTCAGTCTAAGATTTCTTCAAAATAAGTGAAGTATGTTTTCAATCTTCTTTTATAGGGTGATTCAAAGGTTATAATTATGGATGCTAATGGGAGCCGATCAAAGGCCATTGCTAGGTTACTGAAGAAGCTTGGTGTGCAGGTAAGTTCCAATGCAGTTTCTCCCAAAAATATTTCATTTTCACTGATCCGAGTCCTGCCTAAATTTGACTGTTTTGATGGCAGCGACCTTACCTTGTTAAAGGTGGTTTCCAATCTTGGGCAAAGAACCTTCGAGTGAAAGAATTGAAACCTGAGACCGCATTAACAGTAATAAATGAGGTAAAAATTCAGACAAAAACCTCATGTTTGAATGAAAAGAAGCGTATAAGGTTTTGGTCACAATTTTTCTTTGTTCCTTTCCAAAAATTTGTATGTATCAGCGTTGAATACTACGTAGAGGTAGCACTTTTTGTTATCACTATGTACTATTAACGTCGAAAACTCACAATATTGTTTTGAATGTATGCAGGACGCAGAGGAAATCCTTGAAGACATAAAGCCCACTCCAACACTTGTCCTTGGATCTCTCCTGGTACATAAACATCAATTGGTCTCCTTTTACTTTCTTTTGCCTCTGTTGGCAGTCGGCACACTGTCCTGTTTCTCTTTGATTATTGGTTCCATTATATTTTTTTAAGAATGGTTCTTTTAAAAGTTGTACTGAATCACGACATTTCTCCCTTTGTGCATTTGAAGCCTTACGTGCAATATTTCTTCCTTTCTAAATTTGGTTCTTTTGTGCAGGGCCTCTCAGCAGCAGCGTACGCTTTGCTAGGTAAGAGGGGTAGGAAAGCATTAAGTGTGGTTATTGCATTGCTTTGCTATACATTAAATATATTGCAAGTCATATGATTTTCAGAACAGTATGTTCTCTTGTCAGAGATAAGGGCTCTTTCATATTCTCTCTCTTTTTTATTTTGTCCTGCTCTTTGGAGCTCCTAATGGTCTATAGGATTCACAGTTATGCAAAAAGAGGACAGGTTTTTAATCTCTCTCTTTTTTTTGGGCGGGCTGGCCGAAGGAGGCCGAGTAATTTCATTAAGATTTGGAAGAGTACAAGTTACAGAAAAACAGCAACAGAACGCTGTTGAAAATAGTAAATTTTTAATCTCAGTGTCAGTTTATCAACAGAAAGCGATGCTGCATTCACAAGTATGATATTTTAGGGAATTTGAGAAGGCATTTCTTAGTGGAGTGTTTGCAGGTCGCTTTAAACACCATTTTGAATAATTCATACCCTGGGAAGCTTACTGGATTACTAGGAGTCATGATTGTTTTTATTTGTCATTTTACCTAAATGTGCATAATTGATCTTTTTGACTGGATGCCCATCATGGGTATGTGCTATTGAACTTTTATAACCTAGTTAGGAAAAGCAGCTATAATTCAACCGTTTCAAACTTGTATTCATTTTGAATATGCGATTAATTGATATTGATAAACAACTGCAGAATGGGAAACGACTCTGCAATACATAGGTGTTCTAAGCCTTGGTCTGGTAAGTATTTTCCATTTTCAAACTGTCGGTACATATCATATATTCTTCTGTTCAATTGCCTGGAAAGTAAAGCAATACAGCTTTGTGCCTTTTATATTACTACTCACTCCGATCCAAATATCATGGCAAGCGGAAACAACACAGTTTACATGACATTCTTCTACTCTTGTAGACTATCTATCTGCGATTCTCTACGTACGAGGGTTCAGAGGATCTGGAGCAAGATCTAAAGTAAGTCATCCTAGTATCATCCGTTCTCGTGGTGTGCTTCTTTTCTGTAGTACAAATTTACAGCTCAGGTGCTCGAAACCTGCCATTTTTCCAACACATGACAAAAAAAAAAAACCATTGCAAATTTACAAGTTCCCCTTACTCCTCTCCTTGTGATTGCCTAGACTGCTGCTTTCCCCGTTAAGAGTAGGCGCGGAGGCGTTCTCGTGGGCGGCCAAGAAGCTGGAGCCAAGCAAGATTGGCTTGGCGACTTCCCCCTCCACGACGGCGGTCCAAGACCGGGTTCTCCAGGCCGCCGCGAAGCACGAGTCGCAGCCGTCTGACGCCGAGGCAGACAGTTTGGTCTCTGAAGCGTGAGAGTTTCAGGTTTCAGTGGCCAATGTGATCCCAATCTGTGCAGCTGAGTGAAAGTCGTTAGCCAGTAGCTACACGCCCAGTAAATTCTGTGGAAAAATTTGATGTTTTCTCATGTAGTTGATTGATCTGAGCTACTGTGAGCAGCCGTGGTGATGAACCGGCACTGTAAATTTTTATAAGCAGCGTTCAACAATAATGAACACATGTTAGCACAAGATGATGTTAATGTTGTTTCACTTCTATGTGGAGTTGATCCGTGGGGCCCATGGTCCAGACAGTACTGTACTGTAGTCTGTAGATTGATCCATAGCGTTGTTCTGACAAGCTCCACATCAGAAGCATTTTTTACCATCGTAGATTAAATTTTACAAATCTATAGATATTTGAACAACCTTTTTCTATGGATATCTTTCGATTTCTGGTCTGCCAGAGATAAAAAACACAGAAAACTGCAAGAACGGGGATTCGATCCTAGGACCAACTGGTCGCACGCATCACGACTCAACCAAGTGAGCAGTTATCCAAACTTGAATTAAAACAAAAATTACACATTACTTAAACTGTAATTACATAGAAATTACGCTGTAATTACATATAACTTACACTGTAATTACATTTGAAAGTTTTTTTCTAAAAAATCTGTCGCCAGAATTTTAGATAGTCCCTTTGAACAATCTATCACAATTTACAGAATTAAGAAACTACAGATTTAAGAAAGTGTATATAAGAAAATTTATCACAAAACTATATATTTAAGGAATCATAATAGAAACATATAGATTTAACATTGGTTTTATCACAAAACTATAACTTTGATAATCTCAATAGTGCTATGGATATAGACTCTAAAATCTGCAGTTGTTTGACAACTTTATTATTAAATATGTAGTTGTGATATGATGTTTTAAATTTATAGCTTTGTGATAAATTTCACGCTAAATTTGTTGATTTATGATACCCATTTTTAATTATATAGTTTTGTAAAATTTACTTGAAATTTATTAATCAATGAACTAAATTACTCCCTCGAGTGAAAAATTTTTGGCGCTGGGATAGCTAAAACATCAACATCAAATGAACTGTGATGACAAATACTTGACGTTGGGAGAATTGAGGCCGGAGAGTATGCCTAATACATTTGCATCAGGAATTCAGGACACATACAGAAATACAGTGCTGCAAAAAAAAAAAAGAATGAAAGAAAGAAAGAGAAAGAAAAGCATACACCAACGGCTGGCTCTATACTCTGCCACTCATTGGATTCCCCCACTTTTGCAAACGTTTTCAAGCAACGGCTCTCCCTCTCTGCCATCCCGGTCCCACCTGCCAGTGACCGCCGTGTGGCCCACCCGCTCACCGAGACTAGCCGTTGCCTCGCGGCCATCGCCTTTCTTCCCCCAACGGCCAAATCCCCCGCGCCACGCAGCATAAGTAGCAGCCCCCTCCTCCTCCCTCTCCACCTCCACCCACGATCTCCTCTCGCTCTCGCCATCTCGCCGCCGGCCTCCTCCACCACCACCGACGACTCCGACTCCGACTCCGGCTCGATCTCTCGCGGCGGCGGCGGCGATGGCGGCGGGGAAGGGGAGCCACACGCACAGGGCGTTCCTGCTCTGCAACTACGCGCTCCTGGGGGCGGCGTCCAGCTGCATCTTCCTCACGCTCTCCCTCCGCCTCCTCCCGTCCCCGTGCGGCCTCCTCCTCCTCTTCCTCCACGCCCTCACCGCCGTCTTCTCCGCCGCGGGCTGCTCGGGCTCCTTCACCGCGCCCGCCACCCCCGCGCAGTGGCACAACGCCCACACCGCGGGCGCCGCCCTCACCGCCATCTTCCAGGGCGCCGTCGCGCTGCTCGCCTTCACCCGCACCTCCGACTTCCTCGCCGAGCTCCAGTCCTACGTCCGCGACGACGACGCCGCCGTCATCCTCAAGATGGTCGGCGGCCTCGGCACCGCCATCTTCGTCCTCGAGTGGGCCGCGCTCGCCCTCGCCTTCTCCCTCCGCCTCGACGACGACGACGGCGCCGGCGACTACGACAACAAGAACTGGGCCGCCGCCTCCTACCATGTCTGAAACTCTGAAGCCCTCATCACCTCCTCCACTCCACTCCGCCATTGGTGCGACCGAAGAGTCCATTCTTCGTGTGTTGTTTAGATTATTAGTAGAATTACTCTCATGATTCTTTTGTACTAGTGATATTTTCATGTGTACTCGAATTCTTTTGTACTAAGATGCAAAGCAAATATATATTGCTTTAAAGCGTTTGCTATGATGCTATGCTGCTGCTCCTCAACCATTCACATTCTTGCTTGGAATCCATTTGTAAGTTGTAGTAACAAAAAAAACCCAGATGATTCAGTAGTTTGACAGACATTTAATCACCATCACTGCCAGATAAATACATGTCAAACGGCAGAGGGCGAACGCAACAAAAAGAGCATCCATCACAAGTTATAGAACACATTTCTAGCTCTTTCGTCAGGGAAATGTTGCAAAATGGAGTTGCAATGCAGTAACCTTGCTGCTGCAGACCATTGTTGCTCAGGTATCTGCTAATCTGGGTGTACTGAAGATGCTTCCAGGATCCTACTGGGACGAGGGGAGCAGATTGATTCGAGGAATATCAGTGTCACCATTGACGTTTTGAGTGGTTTTCGACTTCAGGCGCAGCTCAGGTGAAGCCAGGATGGCCTCCTCCGGAGGTAGACACCGCTTGGAGAAGTATGTCGCTATGCTCTTGGGCTTTTTGGAACTCGCTGAAAAAAACAAGACTTATTGTTAGAAGGGTTTCAGAAGATGACAATGGGGGCAAGATTCCTACTGACAAATGAATATGAGGTACAGTACCAGGAGATGAACTTAAGCCTAGCTTGCTAAGAACCTCTTTCTTGACCTGCAGAGATAAGAAAAAATAACTTAATAGAGCATTCCAAGTATATTTCATCTCTCATAATGCGCTGCTGTAAATAACACTAGCACAAAAGCAAACATTGTTGGTATGGCGTTCTTGAATGTGAAAGTATCTTACCTGCCAACGATTATCAACAAATTCAGAAATCTCCCTCACTTTATTTTTCAGTTGTGACTTTGACACATTCGGGAATTTCTGATGCAGTGACTCAACCAGCTTATTGATACCATCACGGCATGATCCTATCACCTTAACCTGCATTGGAATTGAACAATATGTATAAGAAAATGGCATATCCAATCAACACATTACCATTGAATACTAAGTGATTACTTACAATTTCTGCCAGGTCTGTATCTGGTATAGCTGAAGCAGCAGCAGGACTACTCTTCACATTCAACTGATTGGTCTCCTCAGCATTTGCAGATGAACTATCAATAACCGGTAAATCAATAGTAGCACCTCCAGGACAGATGCGCATTGAAAGAACTTGTAGGCAGAGCTGCTCAATCTTAGAAGTTCCCTTGAGGTCTCCGGCAGTCAATAATTCAGCTTTTTCATGAGTTAAGTTTGATATCACTAGAGGTTGGCTCTTGCGGAGAGCCTGCTCAGTCAAAGTGTTTAGTACTTTTTGCTGGCGTAGTAGAGCCCTAAATTCCTCTACTTCTGCACACTGGTCTGGTGGTGAGCTACTGGCTTCATCCTTGTCGTCCAAGAGGCTTTCAATCTGAATCCCCTGCAATAAAGGAACTCCAAATGTTGAATTGATTTGAACCTAGTCCTTAGGATTTTATCCCATCCTTTCCAAATAGGGCCTTAGTCAATGAAACAACTATTGATCTCGCATGTATGTAGAACAGAACTGAAAGTGTATCACAACCTAGAACTCATACATATTCATATACGGAAAAAGTAGAAGACGTAGCTCATATCAGCATACATATTCATACAAGGATTTGTCTTGTTCCACAATTTTATTTTCTTATAAATTCAACGAAGATTTAAGTATGCACAAGTATCATTTCTATCATCCTTTCAGCAGGTACAGAGAAACAAATAGCACACCACTCTCACAACAGAACGGATTGTTAGTTACAGTAACTAAATGGAAGCATCTTAGAGATGTACATTTACACAAAAAGACAAACTTAAAAGTTCTATTTATATCGTAAACTGGTAAAGAATTCACTTATTAATGACTTGCCTCATTATCCGAGAGGTAACCATCGGGGACAAAAAAGCTATCTTCGCTCTCTTCATCTGTGATCTTGGAATCCTCCTCCATAACTTCATCATTGTCCTTCTCGCAGTCGGAAAGGCTCTCACCAGGATCCTCCTGTGCGCCAAACAACATGAGTACCTCTTGCCAGAAAGAAAGAGAATAAAGGAGCAAAATCACCAATTACCTCTTCCCATTCATCATCACTATCAACCTCATAGTCAAGATCAGGATCCATCTTAAGTGGACATCTTGGGCCAACAACAGCACTGGAAAGGATTACAGAATGGAAAGCATTAAGAAACATGGCATTCAAAACAGGAGGTTGGAAAGTATTAAGAACATGGTATTCAAATTAAATACTAACCTTTTCTTCCTCCAAGTCCCATAATATGCAGGTCTGTTGCTTTTGTCAAATTGCAAAAGCTTCCGCTTTATTGATCTAGTTGGCAGAGGATTAGCATGATTGGTGCCATGAAACTGTAGCTCAACCGCTGGTAGCATATCAACATCATTTGCTGACTTATCTGGTTCATTTTCCTGACTTAAATTGTGGCAGGTATCTTCATTAGGAGAAAGAATTTCCTCAAGCATGTTATCAGAGGTTTTTTGAAGTTTGAGCTCCTTAAAAGCTTCTTTCTTGGGTTTGTTTCTGATCCCCCACCTGGAGGACCTGTTATAGCTAGATAACTTCTGCCAACCACTGATCTGCAACCTGTTACATATTTCTATTAAATGTGATGCATTGGCATATCTTAAAACAATATATGAATGTAAATGATTTTTTTTTCTGGTAAAGCCTCAAGTATGAGGTAACAATTAGGCGCATATATATGAAACATATTGACATCAGAAGGAAATTAACCTGCGAAGATCCTCCAAAGCCCAGTTTTCTTTTTGAGAGAATGAAGAATCAATTATGGATGTAACCAATGGTACCACCTCTTTGTTGGTGGTGCATGGATCAGTAGTTTGAACGCCTGAGTCCTTTCCTCCAGGTTTCTCAAGCTTTTCACTGTCTTTCTTATTTTTGAAAAACCGTTCCATCATAGAAGCTTGCTTCTGAATGGCCAGTTGCTTCTTGAGTTGGACAGCTTCCTTCTCACGGCGCTTCTGTTCTTTCTCAGCTTCCTCTTGCTGCTTCTTTTGTTGCTTCCTCGTTTCAGCTTCTTCCTTTTCACGGCGCTTCTGTTCTTTCTGTGCTTCCTCTTCCTGCTTCCTTTGCTGTTTCTTCATTTCAGCTTCTTCCTTTTCACGTCGTTTCTGTTCTCTCAGCGCCTCTTCTTGCTGTTTCTTTTGTTGTTTTCTCATTCGAGCTTCTTCTTTCTCCTTCTGTTTTAGCTCCTTTTCAACTTGTTTCTGTGCTTTCTGAGTATCTTTTTCCTAAAATTCAGCAGTATAGCATTAGTGGATAAACATATGTAATTTCCTTGCGAAACTACTGTTGCATCACATTGCACTGTGCCCCAAAACAAATTAATAAACCATGCTAGTGAACAGTATATCCTTGGAATAATTACATGTAGCTCAAATAGCAAGACTTCAAGACCACAACACCAAGCTCAACATGCCTATTGTAAAAGGGAGTACTTATTTCAAGTGGCTTTGCTTAAGAATAAACTGTAGTATAATGTAAGTTCAGCTGTGTGCTTTTTGTTACAGTCAGCCGTTGATAGTTCAAAGAAGTGAAGTCATGTCCAGAACTTTAGCTCTAATATGCAACAGAACATATACCAAATTATTGTTGGTCAAATACATGTGATCCTCTAATAAATTTGACATTAACAGATTTGCATGTGACCATTTCAAGAACAAAACAGGAAGAAATACTGACATTAGTTGAGGTGTTTTTTTGCAGCTGAGAGTCATCCACATTCTCAATAATCCCAGTATCGTTATTGCTTTTCACCATCTCTTGCATTGGCTCTTTAGCTGTTGATCCAGTATTTTTGGCACCCCTGTTTTGTCAAGAAAATATAATATATAAATCAGAGTGCTAAAAGATTCAAGATTAAAATCATGTGTGCACCTGTCTCATAAAAAATGTGCAAGAAAATCCTTGGACAGAAAGTAATAACGAGAAGAGTAAAGTGTATTAGCGGTCCTTAATCTTGTAGGGTTGTGTCATATAGGTCCCTAAACTCTCAAAATGCATATCCAGGTCCCAGAACTTGTCAAAGTGTATCATCTAGGTCCCAAATCAACACATCCCCTCTAGGATCCTACGTGGCGCTGATATGGCATGCCACATGGACATGACGTGTCCTTTTCTTTTTTTTCTTCTTTCTTTTTCTTTTTCTTTTCCGTTTTCTTCTTATTCTTCTTTTTTTCCTTTCTTCTGCTCAGGTCACAAAGAAAGGAGAATAAAGGGGAAAAAGAGAAGAAAAAAGAAAAAGGAAAAAATTTAAATGGGTCCTATTTGTCAGTCAAAATAATGCCACGTCATGTCCGTGTGGCATGCCACATCAACGCCATGTATGATCCTGAAGTGGTTGTGGCGATTTGAGACCTAGATGACACACTATGACAAGTTCTGAGACTTGGATATACATTTTGAGAGTTTAGGGACCTAGATGACACACCCCTACAAGTTTAAGGACCGCCCGTACACTTTACTCTAACAAGAAGGTACAAACCGTTCAATGTTGCTCTTTTGTGTCGCTCTTTCCACCAATGATTTAATACCTTCCAGGTTCAGTGCTTTGCTTAACTTCAGTGATGCTTTCCTCATATCATTTACTTGAGCTTCAGCTCCCGGAGCTTCTAGAACTGATAACGTTGCTGCAATCGGTGCAGTTATTTAGTGAGCAGAAAAGGAAAGATATGGAGTACTGGATAAGTAGATTTTCATGGTAAAGCCGATATGGAAATTAGATCAAAATAAAATAAACTGGAGCACTCCTACAACTATATAAGAAATGTGGTTGCCTTTCCAGAAATAAACACAATACTAATTATTTAGTAAATGCAGTTCTAACTTGGAACAATAATTGCCCCCACGCAATTACGCTAGAACGTGCTAGTTTCTTATAAAACTACCACCACGTATTGAGAAATGGAAGTGGACTTAAGAAGGTCTGGCTTACAATAAATAGCAGTAATCCTCTCGTGGATTTTCTTTCTAGCAGTTCTACGCGTACTCAGAGGTCCACGCATTCTCAGAGGAATCACCTTCAAATCTCTCACCTGTCAATGGACAAAAACCAACTAAGCCACCACAACACATATAAACACATAATTGCGTGCATCAAGCCATCAACTGATCAAGCAACACAAAATTTACCTCCCAGCACCAAAGAGCCGTCTCTGATTCATCTTCCAACACATCAGCATCCGGACTAGATTGCCCATACATCATCCTCTGCCCAATGAGCAGCACAGAACTCCGGACCGAAGTCGCCGACACGCCTTCCATTCCCTTCAGCTTTTCATATATCTCATCCACCAACTTGGACAATCCAAGACTGCTCTCCTCTAGCAAGCATCCGATAGCAGCATTCGTCGACAGGTTCCCAACTTCGAATTGCATCCTGTGACCCGAAACCTCCCTGTAATACTCCAATAAGCCCTCGAGCTCCTGGCAACATCCAGCAACTAGAGCATCCTTGTCTGCTGCAGCAAGCGCCGGGCCACTGGAAGCCCTCTTCCTCTTCAGCTGCTTCTGCACTTCCACGATGGTATCCATCAGCGCAGGAGACTGCTTCGCCGGCGCAGGTTGGCTTGATGCCTCAACTGGGACATCATCAATGGCCATCGAATCGCTGGGCTCGAGCTCGGCAGATCGGTTGAGAACAACAGGTCCATCTACTTGCATTCGCGACTGTCCTAAATCATAGCGCAGGTCAGCATCGATATTATTAGCAGGTTCAGGGTGAGCAACGCCAAGAAGCTTGCCGCCTTCCATTGCTGCTGGGAAATGGCGATGTTCACCTAAAGGCACGAACTTGAGAGTTCAGTTCTTGCGATGGCTGGCTTAGGAACAGCGAATTCCTCTACCTAACCACCTGAACGAAGAATCTCCCCCACCCTTCTCAACCTGGATCAAGATAAATTAAACATGGAGAAAAAAGATAAATCAGTCTCCTTGGACATGGACAGACACGATATTAATGAACAAAATCAAATCTCTCTTTGGTGTTAGCCCTCAGATCCCAAGTTCCCCACCCAAAAAAACAAGTTTAGGAATTCAACAGTACAGGACCAGATCTAAACGTGAGTGCACCATCTGAGCCCCCAAAACTACTTCGAAAAAAAATTCTAATTACCACTTAAAATGGACAGAGTGGAGAGAAAAAAACAACCTAGGGTTCGATTGCCCACGGCAAACAAGACCGTAACGAAACCCTGGCTCGAAAGAACAGCCTAGAGTTCGATTGCCCACGGCAAATACAAGACCATAACGAAACCCTGGCTCGAAACAATCCAACGAAAGAAACCAACCCAAAAGCCCGGAGGATCTCCACTCTACCGCCGGTCCAGTCGCGGCCGACGAAGAGGATGAGGAGGAGGAGCGCGAGGAGATCGATCGATCACCTGCTTCGACCGGAGGCGGTGGAGTGAAGCGGAGGAGGGATCTGGGGGAAAAAACGAATCGCCGCCACGCGAGGGGGGTGATGGAAATGGGGATTAGGGTGGGGAGGGAGGCTATATTTTTCAAGCGGCGCGATTCATTCCCTCCCTCGCCGCCGCCGCCGTTTTCCCGCCCGATGCGGGATCCGAAAATGAGCCGCTTCGCGCCGCGCGTGAGGTTTGGGACTTTGGGGATGAGAAGAGGATGGGAAGAGGAGGAGATGGCGCGCGCGTGTGGTTTCCCGCGGAGTTTTTGAGAAATTTTTTTGGGGGTTTGGCTTCCCGCGGAAGCGCGCCGGCTGCTAGCAGCCTAGCACGAAGGGAAATGCTATTGGGTCGCTGCAGCAATGTGGGTTGTGGCTATACCAGCCCATCACTGTCCCTTACAACTAAAAGCCCATCACAGCCGAACTTAGGTTTCTCAATAAGTTTGTTTTTTTTTATCCAATTGCAATACGAAGTCCTTTCAAAAATGAATTCGTTTTTATGGAAAAAAGAAGTTTTCATGGGAGACTTGTATTCACGCACCATCATGGACACTCCACTCTTTATGACCTTCTAAAATACCTACCTAGTGACGGAATCAGCGACCTTTAAAAAATAGTGTTGGAGGGGACCAACATTGTTTTCCCCATTTTCGAGCTCCAGTGTTGTAAAGAAACGAAGCAACGACACCCTTAGTTCCTTGCCCCCACCAGTCACGGGAACAACAAATGAAGGGGGAGACGTCGATGAGAGGAATGGAGAAGAAAAGGTGAGACAATGATATGTGATTTGCCGGTAAGCCAGACGATGACAATGCGCTCTCCTTCCCCACGTCTTGACTCGGTACCTGATACCATAGATGACATACCCGATACCATATACCACCTATGGGTACCGACTAGTACTTGAGATACAAGACATGATGCTTGAGGTACCAGACCCTGGTACCTGGTACCGTGCATGATACCCGAGGTATCAAACGGTCAGACCCTGGTATTGACCCCCTGATACCTAAGTATCAACTATGACGTACTTGTACACAATACCAGCGAGTAGAAGTGATGGGCTGCCAAGGAGCATGAAGAAACCCGACGACCTCTCATGCACTTCATCAACTTCGACGTCACCATATACGTCGAGATCAGCTGCCTCTACCCTACTGTCGATGCCCAGGACCTCATCCCCCTCAGCCTCGCCGCTTCCCTTTCCTTCCGCTCACACATGACATCCCCCAACCTCACAGCCGTAGTTGGCTCCCTCCTTGGCTATAACCCCCATGCCCTCGCCAACCTCCACTCACTCACATGCTCCGAATCCGCCGTAGGAAGGGAGAGAAGAGGATAAGGAATGTTGGCGTTGAAAACAATGGTCAATGAGTTGAGGAGAGGGAGGATGAGGATGGCCACTGTAGAGGAATGGATGGAGGGAGCAGGAAGACGAAGCGTTGTTGCTCGGTGGGGAAGAAAATCAAGTCGGTGGGGGAAACAAATCTGGAAGATATGTAAAGTTCATCCTATTTTTATCCTGTGCCCTCGTGTCCCTGACGGGATTCGCTATACTGGTTTTTCTGAAAATTTGCTAAAGCTACGGTAACTTTAGTGCAAAGAAAAAAGAAGAACAAGTAAAACATGTGGTAGGCCAAAGCCACTACTCGCCTCTACCTATCTCCGCCCCTAACAAGTAAAACCTCACATGTCATGATAAACTGTATCAAATAGCATCAACGTTACATGCTATAGGTTTTTAGTGATTATTAAGATTTTAAATCGAGTGAACTCGTGCATCGTAATTATAGCCATGCCATCACGCATGTTTGATATATATGTTTTATGCATTTCCTTCCGCGTTTTGGGTTATTTAAAACCAATGGAGTGCATTCAGTAGCAAAATTAAATTTATTTCCGTTCTTCAGCAATATATCCATAATTATGCATATGACTATACGATCCAAATGGTACAAAATTAATATTGTCGCATGTGCAAGTGTGTTTACGAAGCAATAGAGATTTAGTTACCAAATTGATAAAATTTTAGAGAATGGCTACCCATGTGGCTAACCGTTCTAACCGTAGGCAACGAGTCTACGCCACTCGGGTCAATTATGGCTTATTTTCCTTTTCGCATTTATTCGAGCATGGAAAAAAAGGAAAAAAATTGATGTAAGAGTGAAATAACACGACACTGTGAAAATAAAAGAGCAGTAGTATTCATAACCAACGTTTTCACGATACAACCAGCGTTTTTAGGGTTCTAGTAGTAGTGGCTCTAGAAGGCGATTGGCAATCTCTGCCAACCAGAAACGAGCAAAAAGATAAAAATTTTTTCCCAAAACACTGGAACGGCACACGAACAAATCACAAATGACAAAATAACGCCACACGCGCACGAACGCACGGAGCATATCCTGTTCCATGAACTCGCCGAGCTTTTACACCACAGCAAACCAACCCCTCAAAAAAAAACGAAATCGTCACGACACGAGACAAAATCGTAAAAAAAGGAGGCAGCAACCACACGTGTAAAAACCGCGACGAATCACGCACATCAAGCTCGCACATACGCACCATGCAATGCAACGACAACGACGACGAGAAACCCACACCATTTTACACTTAAACACCAAACCAACCAAAGCACGAACGACGAGGAGTCGACGACGACGACACGACGAATTCAAACACACGACGCAAGCGATTTTGATCGTACTACTTGAACGTCCTCCGGCCGATCCCGGCCGGCATGGACACGGCGGAGTCGACGCTGAGCTCGCTCACCGACGACCGCGTCGGCCGGTGCCTGCCGGCGACGGACGCAGCCGGCGTGGCAACCCGCGACGAGATCGACGGCGGAGCGGCGGCGGCGCCGCCCTTCCAGAAGGGGCTCTTGGCCCAGCTGCCGATGCTCTGGCCGAGGCCGAACGAGAACCTCGGCTTCTCCTGCGCCGCCTGCGCCTGCTTCTCCTGCTGCTGCCGCAGCATCTGCGCGCGCGCCCTCGCCTTGGCCGACGCCGACATCGTCGGCGTCATGTAGTTGGGCAGTGCGCCGCCGAACGCCGGGCAGCTCGTCAGGCTCTCGTCGTCCCGGATGCTCCCGCCGCCGCCGTAGCTCGACGCCACCTTCGCCGGCCGCGTCGCCCTCGGCCTCGCCGCCGTCGTCGCCGTCGCCGTCGAGTAGGACGACACCACCGACCGCGCCGGCGTCGCCGTCACAGCCACATGCCTGCCGCCGCCGCCGCCGTTCCCGACGTGCTCCACGCGTTGCCGGGATAGCAGCGCCGCCGCCGCCTCCGCCTCGTGCCGGCGTTCGATCGGCGTCCACCACCATGGATTCCGGCCCGACTGCAGGTCCGCCAGGATCGCGTGCGCCGCCATCGGCGTCGCCTTCAGCAGCTGCCACACGAAAAATAAGCCAAATTGTATATTTGCAAACGAAAAATAATATGTGAATAAAACTTTTATATAATATTCTTAGCGATCAAAAATAAAGATTGAAAAATAAGCTTGGATGAAGGAATCCTAAAATTAATTAAAAAAAGCAAATATTAGGGAAATACCTAATATCAAATAATTAGAAGGGGTGAGGTTTCGAACCCAGGTCGTCTAACCCACCTTATGGAGCTAGCCGGAAGAGCCGTGGGTGTTTCCCAAATCAATTCTAAATTTAAGGTTGAAAATTTAAATTTTGACTGATAAATATAACCATGAGCCATGAGCGAAAAGATGAGACCGACACAGCACACAGTCACTCGGATGTGTTGAGGTCGTAAGGAAAGTTAGCCGATTTCGGCTTGGCACCAACTAACAACGACGGTACACCGTATGATCAATCGCCCTGCTTTTAGCTGGCCGGTCACACGATATATTTTTCGTACCAAATCGTCCTTTTCGCCGCGTTCGTGGCACGTCTAATCCAACCACTACGTAGTACTACTACTACGTCGGTCCATCCGACACCGCCGCCGCCGCGTCGCCGTCGCGACGCACGGCACGGCACGGCATCGTACCTGGTGGGAGTAGGCGTAGGCGAGCGCGCGCTCCCGCTTGATCACCGCCTCCACCTTCCGCTTCGTCCGCGCGTCCATCTCGTCCCGGCTCAGCAAGCTGTCCTCCCAGATGCCGCCGTCCTGCACACGCGACGTCGACGACGATGTCACCGGAGGCGGCGGTGTTTGGTTGGTGTCGCTGGTGTGACGGTGTTTGTTCTTGTTCACGTACCTGTGAGGCGGCGCGCCAGCGGGCGGCGTCGCGGAGCATGGCGGCGTGGTGGTGGCGGTTGCGGCGCTCCATGGCCTCGACGCGGCTGGCGCGGACCTGGGACTGGACGCGGACGAGCATCTGCATGCACCGCATGGCGTGCGCCGTCTGGCGACGGACGCTGGGCCCGCGGACCACGCCCTGCAGCCGGATCAGGCCGCGCAGGGAGCGGTAGTTCCGCCGCGCCATGTAGCCGCGGAACGCGGACTGGATCGCCACGGCGGCAGCGCGGGCGCGGTCCGGCGGGGCGGGGCCCCTCGGCCTCGCCGCGCGACGCCGCTGCGCCTGCGGCCGCCGCCACTCGGTCTCGGCGCGGGTCTGCTGCTGCATCTGTTGCAGCTTCTGCTGCTGCTCCCTGTCATGGTCGAACCTCCTGATGAGCGGGGGCGGCGACGGCGGAGGCAGCGGGAGCACGATGGCGGGCTTGTCGTCGTCGACGTCACGCCGGCGCTGGCGCTCGCGTGCCGACACAGGTGGCGGCGGCGCTGGCAGCGACGCGGCGGCGGCGGGCGCGGTGACCGTGGCTGGCTTGGCCGGCGTGATCTGGTAATGCGCCCTGTACTGCCGGTGCTGCTGCTCCATCTCGGCGTCGACGAGGATCTTCTCGATGCTGCTCGGCTCGCGGTACAGCGGGATGTTGATCAGCGCGCCCGCCGGCGACGGCTCGGCGTGCTGCCGCGACCGCCCGAATCCCCATCGCTTCTTGTCCCTCGCGGCGGCGGCGCCGCCGCCGCCGCTCCTGTGCTGGTGAGAGTACTGCGCTACCAGCTGCCCCTGCCATTGCCATCACACCTGTCAGTCACCACTTGGCATCTACTACAAAATCTTGTGATAAAATCATAAAATGTGATTGCTTTGAGTAATTCACCACTTGGCATCATAAAATGTTCTGTACTGCTGGGTCCAGTACAGAACAGTGTATTCGTCGCTACGGCACCACTGTATTCATCTACAATTCTACATGTGCATACAGCTTGCAAGAGTTGCTTCCAGGCAAAGACCAGATTTTGGCAATCATCCTTTTTTGCTTTTCTTTTTTGAAAAACTTTGTTCAGTACTTTGTCAGTTGCAAGTGGGAGAAGCATAATGAGGAATTTACTGTTGAGAAGAGGTAGATCAAGGGATGTAATTAGTTGTTTTCCTGTACCACTTACATTTGTAGGCTTGTCCTTAGGGCCAGAGGTGAAAGCCTTCTTGAGTGCAGTGATCCAGCCTCCCTTCTTGCCCATCTCCTTAACATATCTCCTTGCCACACTCCTCTATAATTGATGTTTTCTGCTCAAAACTCAACAAGACCATTTCCTCCCTGTGCCTGCATATGCAAAAACTGAAGTGCTGTATGACTGAAGCCTGAATGGAGTTGTTTTAAAAAAAAAACTGAATGGCTGAAACTGCTTATGCTTGAAAACCGGTTTGGCGTCTATATGTAACAGATTACAAGTCAAACTGTACGAAGTACTGTATTGTTTTTGTCTGACTTTCGAATAGCTGTAGCTGAATATATTTCATTGCTGTCCTACTTCCTAAGAACCAAATTTGCTGTGACCAGCTTCAGCCTTGTTGGAACTTCAAAACAACACACTTAACTCCATAAGGACACAGATGTTTAAGATCTGAATGGCATTAATGTGCCGTTTGAAATCTCTACTACAGCTTCTACTGCATGCGAACAGGTATAAAACAACATCATGTATCCAGCCAGAAAGTTTAGCATAAGATCATTTCTATATACGAGTGTAGTGTCAATGCCTACTTCTACATGATTAATATCATGTCAGGCTATGGAAACTTTTACTAGTAGACATGAATTCTACATCAACAATGCACCACAACATGGGAAAAAACTTCTGTGTAAATATTACCAAGAACAAGAACATGTTGATGTTCATACCTTTTCTATACTTCCCAGTCCTCCCCAGAAATCTTGCTTATACTTCGATAGGCTCTTCTTGTCACCTTGTTCTACTAGCCTCACAAGCTCACGACAAATCTTTGTTCATTCTTGTTCAAGCCGCATGCATCAAGTTCTTGCAAGCAATGGAACCACATTGGTCCATCTCCTTTTCCTTCGAAAGCCCTTCATCTGAAATAGGCTGTTATATAGATTTCTTTCTGGATTGGTGTTGATGAAGGGGAGTGCCCACTTTCCCACTCGATGACATCCAACCAACCTTGCTTGATTGATAAGCCTCAAAAGCTAGGCAGGAATTTTTGCAGCAGGGAGAACTGGAGGTGCAATGTTTTGGCTTGCCTTGCCTTTGTACTTCAAACATGTCTCTTTAGACCTCTGCCATGTGTGATGTACAAGAACCAACATGGCTTGTTCAGTTGTACAAAAAAAACATAAAGGCTGCAATTTATTTGTATGAGGAGCCAATAAAAATTTATGCATGAAAGGGTTTTTATCCACATGTATGCTTCACTGTTACTGCTCTACCCTGAAATACGAGTAAAATACACTTCTTTTTTGTGTTTTCTTGAATGCCCATGTGTTTTGAACAGGACCAGATATGAGAGGGGAGTGTCCAGATTATCAGTCAAAACAGATGTGCTTACCTTCATCTAATAGTCCCTGTTCATCTGTTAGTATGTGAATCAGTCACCGCATCACTCTCAATTATATCTGAAATCAATGCCTTCTGCAGGGTAATAAGTACATTGATGATTCTACTTTGGCACTAGCATACGTGGGTTCTGAAGTGGGAAATGATGCTGTCATGCTCATGCTGGTTGTTGGTTAATAGGAAGTTTGAGTTGTAACTGATCTATGTTATTAGACTAGCATACCTGAGCTAGCTGTCACACAGTAGGTAACTTCGTCTGTATGTCATTGTTTAAACTTGCTTAAGAATGAATCCTCTGGACCAGTATGATGATTCCCCTCTAACTGTTCCTCATTTGCACTTTGTCAATCAAGTTACTATCAAAAATTAAAAAAACTAGCATAAGCTGATGCACCTCCTGAAAACCGAAAAAAGAAGTAACTGCTGAGACCAAAACTCACAGTGAAAAAGATGTACTATCTTAGTCCATCTGCATCTGCGCTGTTTTATGCGTGCGGAACATGTTGTAAAAAAGGGGGAAGAAATGAATCGGATTGAGTGGCTTAAGTAAGTAGAAGATGGGGTCTTGCTTGCAAGGTACTCCATGGACAAAATGAAACTTAAACATCTCCTAGAAAAGAAGAGGTCTAGCTAGCTAGTTGGTTCCCTCATCAAAATCAGAGGAGGGCGTCTTAGTGCTTGGGTTGGGTGTTGCTCCTAACAACAACTCATGTAGGCCACATCCCATGGCCTTCTTTGACAATTCTGTCTTCATCTTGAGACTATTTGGCTCAGGTTTATTTATTTATAACTTAGTTGGATCTATCACCTCAATGTTGCTTGTGTACTGCCTCAGTTTGGAATAAACTAGTCACCTTTCTGCTTGCTTCTGAATTTTAATCATCAGAAAGAGCAACCAATTCTCATAATCTAATATCCCAAGTGCTTTACTCTCTTAGGTGTCAAGCGTACTAACAAGCAACTAACATAACCAACATGGAACGCGTAAATATATGCATTCTTTTTTACCTGATCAGAAGCACTTTTTGGATGAGCCTTTTGGGTAGAGTTAGTGAGTCCGTGCGATTCAGTTAACTCAGTCGGCAGGTTTTCGCACTGAACTTGATTGAAGAACTGAACTGAACCTGTTAGGTTGAAACATATAGTTTAAGAACTGTCGGTGAATTGGAATCAAATATCAATTGCAGGGTGCAAACCTTTTCTTTTTGGTGGTGTGGCTGAATTGAATAATATGGCTGCAAATCTTGCAGATGCCGGAGTGCTCGACAGGCTGGGGCAACTGGGAGGTGAAACTTGACAGGCTTCGCAGGCATGCAAGTTCAGGTTTCCCCATGTGGACGCACGCCGCGCGTCTACGTGATGGCAAGAGCATCGCGCTGAGATGAGCCTGGGCATGGGAGCGGAGGGATCGGATGAGTCTTGCGGCGGCGGCGGGGGCGGGGGCGGCGCGGCGGCCGCCGGAGACGGAAGGGACGGGGAGGGGAGGCGGCGCTGGTGGGTGCGCTTCTTCTCTAGTTGGGCCTGTTGGGCCCAATCAGTACAAATTTTGCTGGAAAAAGTAGACCGAAGGTCCCTCAACTTGTCATCGAATTACAAAATTGTCCTTAAACCATAAAACTGGATACAACGCGTCCCCTAAGTTACAAACCAGTGTAAACTAGGTCCCTCGACGGTTTTGACTCCGGTTTTATCTGATGTGGCAGCTGACTCAGCGTGGGACCCACGTGGGACCCACATGTCAGCCATGTCGACGTTTGATGTCGCGATTCCGGTATTTGCATAGTATGGGGATCGTTGGTACTAGGATATGCGCGAGATGAGGTAAAAGAGATGGAGACGAGGATTTTTATACAGGTTCGGGCCCCTGAATTGTCAGGTAATAACCCTACATCCTTTTAGCCGAAGCCGGTATTGCTCTTATTCATCTGGATCACACAAGTACAATATTTGGGGTAGCCTATCTAACTGTTGTCGACATGGCGGTCTGAAGATCTGACTCGTAGTCGGCAACAGGGTAGTCTTCCTCCTCGAGTTCGTGCCCGGCGAGATCAGAGACAGCGCAATGTCTCTCCTATCAGTATCCGGAGATACCGTATAGGACTAGCCGTGCCTATCTCTGAAGTCGACATCCGACGTCTTGTCTTGGCGTATGTTGGCTTGTATGTTCATCCTGTGTCTTGATCTATTGTTCCGTAGATTATGGTGGGTGTGTCTATGTTCTCCCCCCTCTCCTCCTAGGGGATCTTGTATTTATACCTATAGGTGTCCCCTTGTACAAGTAGAACTAGGGAAACCAATATGGATACAATCCGAGTAGTCCTTGTCGTTTCCATGTAGAACTCTGGTTGTCTTTCCTTATCCGGAACTCCTCCTATATCCGCAGGTTGTTTCCATATAGGACATGGTATGTGGTGTGTCCTGCCGAGATTTAGTTGACTACTATTAGGTGTGTGGTATCCATAACCCTGACAAGCCCTTCTCCTCCTCCCCTCTCTTCCACTATCCTCTTCTTTTCTTTGTCTCCCTTTCTCCTCAGTTCAGCACTTCGTCAGGCAGGGCAACTGGCCGGTGGGGGAGGCGGATATCCGGCGGCCGACGACGGGGCGGTGGCGGCGGCGATGGGCGACGAGGCGGCGGCGGACCTCAACGCGACATCGAGTAGTGGGAGGCGGGAGTCCGGCGGCCGGCAACGAGGTGGCGGCGGACCTCAACACGACGTCGAGCAGCGGGAGGCGGGAGGCGGCCGCGGCCGACGACGACCTCGCCGCGGTGCGCGACCTGTGCGCCGACGCCGAGCAGCCGTCGCTCCCGGACCCCTCCTCCCTCGAGCGGAGGCCCCGACCCCATCTTCCCCGACCGCCACCGGAGCAGCTCAAACTTCCCTGCCGACGCAAGCGCCACGGCGAGCACGTTGTACTGCCGGGTGGTCCGCCGTGCGCGCTGCGACAGGAGGAGGCAGTCCACGTCGACCGCGAGGTGCTCGATGACGACGGTCTAAGTGCGGGCATTCGGGAGCGCGCCTTCGCGGACCATCGCGAGGAAGGCCTCCACGGCGGGGCGATGCGGCTTGGCTGGAACGGAAGCGAAGGCGTCGAGGGCGGAGGCGTGGTCACCCGAGGCGGCAAGGAGGCGGAGGCGCGCGAGAGGCGGCGGGGGTAAGGGGAATGAGGCGAGGTGGGAACGGAGGTCGGGGCCGTGACCTCGCCGGCGCGGAGGACCTGTTCACCCGCGCCATCGACGAGGACCATGGCGAGGGTTCATGGTGGCGGGATCTGGCGCCTGCGCCATCGGCGGCGCCGGTGGCGGCGGCATGGGGGAGGCCCTCTTGCTCCCGCTTCGTCGCCGCGGCAGCCTCGTCGCCCGTCGCCGCCGCCGCCGCCTCGTCGCCGGCCGCTGGACTCCCGTCTCCCCCACCTGCCGCCGGCTGCCCTGCCTGTCGAAGTGGTGAACTGAGGAGCAAAGGAGAGAGAAAAGAAGAGGATGGAGGAAGAGAGGGGAGCGGGGAGAAGGGGCTGACATGTGGGACCCACGTGGGTCCCACGCTGAGTCAGCTGCCACATCGGACAAAACCGGAGTCAAAACCGCCGAGGGACCTAGTTTGCACGGTTTTGTAAGTTAGGGGACACGTTGTATCCGGTTTTGCAGTTTAAGGACGATTTTGTAATTCAATGGCAAGTTGAGGGATCTTCGGTGTACTTTTTCCAATTTTGCTCAAATTAGATGGGTTAACCTTAATGACTTCATGGGCTTCATGTCTGCTTGGGAATTATGGCCCAAATCGAAAAGGTTCGGCCGTTTTGGATTGGGAAAGACCGTGCAATTAGAACGGGCTTCCATGTGAGCCCTCCCCGATTTGGGTCGGGTCCTTGGGTAATGATCCAATTTGGGGCCCCCGTATGTGTAGCGTCTGTTCCGTCGTGGCGCCTAGCAGGAAAATTAAATTCTAAAAACGCTAATTGCGAAATCTGTTTCTTTTTATGTTGTCAGTCTCCGTGCCAATCCCTGATCTCGAATTTCCGATCCGTCGTCGAATTCAAATCCCGAATCGAAATCTCTCCAAATTCAAATCCCTCTGTAAAAGTCTAGTTTGCCTCCCTCAGGTTCGGTGGGCCGATTTATCTCTCGGCCCATCTCTCTCTCTCTCTCTCTCTCTCTCAGCTTTCCCCTCGCTCTGCCCATGCGCTGCACGCGCGTGCGCGTGAGCCGACGCCAAGCCAAGCCGAGCGCCTTCTCCTCTCTCTCGTTCTCTCGCTCTCCCTCTCCCCATCTCTCTCTCCCCGGCGAGCCCCCACCCGCGAATTTTGCATCCCCGCACACCGTGCCTCGCGCGCGCGCCCGCGCGGTCGCCGCCCGTGCTGCGCCTGCGCCCCGCTGCCTTGCCGCGCCCGTGGTCGCGCTGCCGCTCGGCCCCGCAAGCCAGCGCGCGTGCCCGAGCTGCGCCGCCCGCGTCCGTCCAAAATCGGGAGGCAGCGCCTCTCGCTCCCATCCCTCTCCCTCCCCAAATCGGCATGGCTCAACCTCTCTTTCTCCCCCTCCGTTTCCCGCTTTCCTCTCTCGGACCGACGCCTCGCCCTCCTGCTGCGCCACCGCTCTGTTCCCGCGCCATGGACGCAGAGGAGCAGCCGCGCCAGCCATCGCCCATGCCGTTTGACCCCGCGCCCGTGAGCCTATCCCTTCTCCTTGAAGCTCCCTCGCCCCAGCACTGCTCCGAGGTCGGTTTCCGAACCGACATTGCCACCCCTTAAAAGCCGCCCCTCCCCCTCTCGCTCGATCCCCCTGTTTCGCTCCGAGCCGCCGCGCCATTGCAACCCTGCCTGTTCACCGTCGCCGTTTGTCGTTGCGCGTGTCGGAGGAGCCGGCACGAGCGAGGACGCGTGACGTGGACTCCGGGCGCACCCTCTCCTTCCTCTTCCTCGGCCCGAGGCCGGAGCGATCACGCCTCGCGCTGTCGGCCATCGTCACTGCGCCCGCCTGCACGGTAGTGCTTTCCTCCGTTCTCCCTCCTCGCTCTATCTCTTCCCCTTAGCTTTGAGTAGCAGCTCGAGTAGACCCCAGTAGCTAGCTGGCGCCGCCCTAAGCCTTGCCGTCGCTCGCTGTGTGCTCGCCGCCGTCACCGCCCGAGCTCGGTAGCAGCCGCTCGTCGCCGGCCTCCCTCGGTGCGTTTCCTCCTAATTCGGCGCAAGGAATGGATTCCCGGAGTCGCGTAGATGCTCTAACTCCCTTGAATCGAACCCTAGTCGCGTCGTCGCCGTTTCCCTCTCTTCTCGCCGTTGGTCGCCGCCGTCAAACTCCCTCCGGCGAATCCAAGCCATTGGCTCGTCTCCCCTCAACCCGTGCTACCTCCCGGTGTGCTCGCTTTTGCCTGTATCGCCGTGGTTCGCCCTGCTGTTCGCAGCCGCCGTCCGCCGTCCGTTCCGGCCGGCGCCTTCTTCAACCTCCCGCCAGCCCCCGTGGCAGCCACGTCGGCGCCACCTCGGCCGCGACCGGGTCAAGCTGACCCCGGTCCGCCGCTCCCTCTGCCCCGCTCGCGCGCGCGGTCCACCGCGAGCCGTGAGGCTGCGCATGGGCCCGCCGCATCCGCGTCCTCCGTGAGCCGCGCGCGTGCACTGCGCCCCTCTCCGAACCCTAGCGCCGCGCTGCCTGCTCCCCGCTCACGGTGAGCCGAGCCGCCGACAAGCGGGTCCCACTCGGGACCACGCAAGGTGGACCCGCCCCACCGGTTCCCCCTCCCTCTCCCCCGCGCGTGCCTTTGGGCCGCCTTCTCAGGCCGGCCGAGCCCCTTCTCTCGGGCCGCGCCCTAACCGCCCGAGGAAAGTCTAATATCCCTCCCTCCCTCTTTTCTTTTCCAAAAAGGGTTTAAATAAATCCTTTTTCCTTTAGCCAAAAATCCAATAATCTTAGAAATCCAATAACTTCTCAACCATACATCCGTTTGACTCCGTTCAACTTCCAAAAATTCTCAAA